TCATGATCTTAACCATAGAAAATAACAATAATCTAAGTAATTAATTAGATCACACTAGAAAATATGAACTCAGGAAAACACAAGAACTTCCTTTATTCAAATTTGATTCATTTGTCATATTCAATACACATTTAATTATTACAAAATAATAATAATAACGAACTCTTCAGTTTCTTATTTTTTGTTTGTTTGTTTATATACACATCGATTTGTATTTCGCGGGATATTGAAAATTTAAATGATGATTGTTTTTCTTGAACAAAAAAAGAAAGAAAAAGGAGTAAATGATATTTAAACAAGAAAAATGAATTAGATCCCATGTGTACGCGTGTGTGTATACATATCTCCATGTACTATTTATGATCTATATTCATTGTAACTGAGGTATAAATAATAATAATAATAATGACTCAAATCAATAATATTTAAAATCATTTCCGAATGATTGTTTGTTTGTTTGTTTGTTTTTATCTCCTATTCCATTGAAAATTAATTAAAAAGGACATTGTCATTATCATTTTTTTTTGTTTGGAGAAAAAAATTTTTTTTAATTTTTATTTTTAACAGTCCATTGATTTCAAATGAATTTTGTTTTTACCTATTTTTTTATTGATTGAATATGATGTAATTTGTATTTATTGTTGTTTGTGGGTGGTGGTAGTGGTGATAGTGACGGTGGTGGTGGTGGTGGTGATGGTGATAGTGGTGTTACTGTTATTTTTTTAGGGGAGTGTTTATTAGGGTGGAAATTTAATTATTCAATAATTTTTTCTTTTAAAGAAAATTGATTTTGATGTTTTCAATGCCACCATAGTAACAAATATTTGAAATTAAGAAAAGAAAAAAAAAACGAGATTCAATGAATGAATGAATGAGGATTACTTGTTTTTGGGGGTAACAATAACAACACCAACAAAAAGAAATGAAGAAGGAGAAGACAGTTATTCATTTGAAAATAAGTTAGATACAATTTCAATGAACTTACTTTGACCTTAAAGATTGAAATATAAAATAAGTTAATCAATGAAGTGATTATTTTATTTATATATTAAGACATATAAATATTGGTGGATGTTTCGCTCGATTTCGTGGATTAGTTGAAGTGAGACATTAACACCGTCGGATGACAGCCGGTTCAAAAGGTTTAGTTGGCTAAGCGCGTGGCGCGAGACCGATGGATCCTGGGTTCGAATCCCGCGGGGCAGAGTCGTAGATTCGCATTGCTGAGGAGTCCCAGACCAGGACGAAACGGCCGTCCAGTGCTTCCAGCTTTTCCATGGTGGTCTAGTTTTAATTGACTCATGATCCCAACTGTTGAAATTATATAAATATTTGTACAGAGGCAACAAATACATATGTCACACAGTTCGTCATTTGATTTATGTGGGGGTTGGGATCCTACACGAGTCTCTAGACTGAAACAGTTAGTTTTCTTAGGAGAACACTTTCCGGAGCCTTTGATCTAAAGGTCTGATCCACAAGACAGTGGAGCAACGTAAGGAGATGCAATCTAATAGTTGCCGGTGTCCAAAAACAGGTTCATACATCATTTGTTCCTTCGGGGTAATTGAACCCATGTACACCATTTGTTTGAATTCAGGGTTTTCCAACATCTTTAGGTAGACTCTGTGTTCACAAAATCGATCGAAGCTCCGGACATTCGTGTTTCGTCTTTTCAATTTTCTAAAGAACACCCCCGTCACGAGAAGGCAGTGAGTAGGATTTCTTTGATAGTGGTTGTATGCACGTGGCCATGTGACAGGATTTCGAGAGAGAGAGAGAGAGAGAGAGAGAAAGAGAGATGACTCTTTCCACTCTCGGCCGTACCAGGGCATTTGGAGGTTAGTGATTACAGATCGGTATATGATTAGACGAAAGCGATTTGATTCTAATCCAGTATTATAATGATGGTTAAAGGCTTGTTGTGAGACCTGTTTAATGTTTATGGTGACTCACACCAAAACGAATGATTTATTTAGTGCTCTTTAGTTTTCAATGATTGTCGAAATAAGATCAGTCTATAATAACTAAATGTTTTCTTTAACATGAGGTTGTCTACTGAAAAGTATAGAAATTTACTTAATTATAATTTTCAGGTATTTTCAAGAAAATTTCATCATGTATGGAAATTAGCTAAAAGGTGTTTGGAGACAAGAAAAGTAATGGTTAACTAGTTCGTCTTTTTTAAGGTTTCTTAGCAATCTATACTCGCAGTCATGTGGCATATTGTACCAATAGGCTTCAAGTCTCTTAGTAACCATTGTACATTTAAATTATTGAATTGCCAACTAAACAGTACACATTTTTCAACATCATTAGTTTGGCAAAATAGTTCATTCACCTCCATATTCGTAAAATTCCAGTTTTGATTACCTTTAAAATAGAAATATTCTTAATTTGCTATGCCTGTTAAAATGTACTCAATCTGTTTTCATTTTATGAGGAAAATCATGTCCAAATTACAAACAAATAACCTTACAAAACGTCTTAGACAAATGTTTGTCGATTTAGAACATGAAAAAACTATTTATTAAATTATAAGTAGAGGTGATGGTGCCTAGCAGTAGAATACAGGCTGTGCGTTTCATCCAATTCGGTACTCATCAGCCGGATGTACCTGTATCCTAGAATTGATGTTTACTTCTGGACTCAAACGCAATACCGTTCACGTCCTGATAGCCAATACAAAACTGAATTAAACTTCATCCCGTTGCACAAGTCAGTGAGTATCTACACTCAGTAGCTAAACGGATAACATAATGGTATTTTAAGTGAACGGTACTGGGTTCGAGTCCTAGAGTGAATGGAAAAAACGTACTGAATTCCGCTACTGGCCACCATCATTGCCGTTTATAATGTTTTTGACTTAAGATAATATCAAGGGAATCCTAACAAGATGAACTCCTAAAAATCAATGGGAAGATTCAAACAACCAATACATTCCAACTTCATTGTCTTTGATAACCTGAACACTTAGCTCAAAATAGTTCAAAACATTGAATCATAAAAAAATATTTGTATCCACTTAATCTGTTGTTAGGTAATTCTTTCATATGACTGTTGCTAACACTAAAATATGTTCAAATTTACAAATATTCCTAATTCGATAGTACATTTGATCATGCTTAATTAACTTTGAAGTATTATCAAATAATGTTTATTCATGCATCTATTCTAATATCAGCTTATTGGGACCAAATGTTACTTCATTATGAGTACAACAAAACTAGTTGACACAACTGTTTCATGTTTCATATTCAATAATAACTTAGTTTCATATCAACTTACTTACACATTAAGCATAAATCTTTACAAACTTCTTTACTATTCATTAGAAATATGATTTATTAACAAACCAATCAGATTTAAGATAGCAAACTGTGGATTCAAAACGCAGTGACGGATAATTTATGTCTTATTAAAAAGTAAGATATATGTAACATTTTATGAACATTTAGTTACCAAGACAAATCAAATTAAGAAATATGATTAGTTTGAAGAATAGGGACTGATTTCAAGGATTCTTTTAATGATGGTAAGAATGTGATGAGTTTTCTATAGAGGAATTAATAGAAACCAAATGGAATGGTAATGGACATATGACTAACATTAAATTAAAATTATTCACAATTAAAGCATTTTTTCCACATTATTCGTAAACACTATTGTTCTGTCTTACCATTAACCCTAAGTCATAAGCCAACTGGCTTATGATAATAGGATTCTGGGGGAAATTTAGAGAAAATATTGGGAAAAAACCTAAAAATTTGGGGAAATTGCCCAGATCTGGAGGAAATTTTGAGGTTTTGGTGCCACTTCCCCAAGATTTTCTATAGTGGCTTCCCCAAAATTAGGAGATTGGGAAAGCTCAAAATTTTAATATTAACGTATTTTTGAGGTTTTATGTGAGTAATTATTCATTTACATCACCTTTATTCTGACTGGCTAAGATTTGGTAAATATTACTTTTTCCTAGTCATTTTGAGAGTCATTCAACATCAACAGTAAAGTGGGCGAGACTCCAATTTATGGATGAGCCAGTCAGAGGCATTTCGGAGATTTCAAGGTTACAGCGCTAGCTTCAGTGTTTAATGCTAATGTACAATCGGTTCACAGGGAATTTCGTACAAAACGTGATAATAGAGCGGTTATAACAAATAAAACGGCGGGACTATAATTTGTGGACGAAACAATCAGGTATAAGATAAAAGATCTCGGATTTTGGCGCGAAAGCCTTTCATCCGTTTGGCTTAATAAATTCCTGGCATTATTGCTGATATCAGTTCGTGATGAAAATCCTGTATATAATTCCTAACTAAGGCAATTTATGACAATTATTACGAACTGGCTATTTGCTGATTGGCTAATATTTCTCAAGGTCACTCAAGATTCATTCAAAGATCGTCCATAAATTAGAGTCTCGCCGTAAAGTAGGTTTCTATTTTATTTTAATTATTTATTTGAATACATAAATATTGGTACAAAGAGGCACCAAATAGATATGCGCCACACAAGTCACTTGATTTGTGATTGGGCTGTGATACTGTTCGGGTGCACAAAACGAAGTAGGTTATTTCCTTAGGGGGCCACACCCAGAGCCTTTGACCTAGAGGTCTAATCCACAAGGCAGTGAAGTAACGTTAGACGATACAGTCCCCATGGTAGCCTGTGACCAACAATAGGTTCATACGCCATTTGTTCCGTCAGGATACTGGAGCCCATGTATACCATTCGTTTGGAATGAGGGCTTTCCAACTCCCATAGGTGAACTCTTCATATTCACCAACCTGGTTAAAGCGCCAGACATTCGATTTTCGTCCTCTCAATTTGGTAAACAACAGTAATGCCGTTAAAAGTTAGTGAGTAGGAGAGTTGACTCTCTCCAATCTCGGCCGTACTAGGGTATTTGGGGATGGGTTTCTGTCTTCAGCCTACTATCTCTAAATAAATAAATGGACAAATATAAATTTTTCCCTCTCCTTGTTTATTATCTTTTCCAGCGTTTATTTACAGTAATATTAGAAGCATATGATTTAGTTAATCGAAATGAAAAATATTTAATTGATCGAGCTATACATCGTGGTTTGTTGCGTCCATTAATTTCTTCTATGAAACAATCTACAGATTGGCATCAAGTCACTATATCAACACAATATTCTGGTTATACATTTTGTATACAATTAACATGTGAACTAAATCATTATGGTAATGATTGTACAAAAGTATGTCAAACAAATGATAATCATACAAAATTTAAATGTGATGCTAATGGTGATAAAATATGTGAACCTGGATGGAGTGGAACTGAATGTGATAAAGGTAATTCAATGAATTATTTATTATTCTGTCTGTCTATCTTTAACATTCTATAATAGTTTAGTTTGTAAGTAGCATCCGTCACAAATTGATTTCATATGAGATATCACAGAAAACAAAGATGATCTAGATAAGTATTTTGTGCCAGTAAAGAACAATCTAGTAATACATAATCACTAGAAATCATAATTGGTGGAATTCGGACACATTGAGGATCAGACATTTATCATAAATAGGACTGGATAATCATCATACAATATGGAAAGCTGGTTGAAAATGAAATTGTACTGGTTCAAATGACTAAGCGTTTATTATCATTATTACTGTAGGTAGTTTATAGAGAACGTTGGCTTTAATAATTTAAATTAAGGATATGAAGTTTCTGGGTTTAATGGCTGGTTGGATTTTGAGTGTGAACTTCTATAGTCTCATACTAAGACCAACCACTTGTCTGGTGCTCCTTGATGAGTTTATTCTGTGATGAATATAACCAGTTATTTTTCATGCCTATTTGTGATGTAAATATTGTTCATATGGAGAATCATGGACACAAGTTATTAGACTGACCCTAACTAATTTCTAAGTGATCACCATTTAATGTTTGAGTTCATGAGTCAGTTGAGGCTAGACCACCATAAAAAACTCTGAAGCACTGGACAGTTGTTTCGTTCTAGTATGGGACCCCTCATCCGTGTGCATCCACGATACCGCCCAGCAGGATTCGGAACTGGGACCTATCGGTTTAGCACGCGAGCGCTTAACTTCCAGACCACTTGGCCGGAATCCATGGTGGTCTAGCTTTAATTGACTTATGAACTTAATCATTATTATTATTACAATATACAAAAAAACCTGATTACTATTTAGTTTGATCCTAGTTTCATCATTGTTCATAATGCTGACATACTTAGTTGTATCATATTTTCGACACCCTCACGCTGGGAATAACTAAAATTTACTTGACAAGAGCCATATTCTTCGTTCTTTTAAATGAAATATTGTAAGTAATACAGGCTGAAGTGTTGTTATTTAAATCGAAGCAACAAATATCGGTGTTGAATAAACTAAGGGATTTCATTTGGATATTACTGTAGTGGCTTTGCTTCGTTAATCGACCACCACGATAACCGTTATATTATGAAAGTCAACATTGTTTGAAATCAGAAAGCAATGAGAAGCGTCAACTATAGTTTATTAGCGGATAACCGAAATCACAATGCTATAAGCATATTAAGTGAATTTGAAGCGGAGAGGCGAATAAGTATATATCAGTAAATATATAGGCAAATTTATAGTCATCAAATTGCATAAGTGCACAGCAAGCCAAAGCAAAAACTAATAATAGGATTTGAGTACATATGTACATGGGGAGGAGAATGAATCATCGAGTGATATTAAAGTAATCAACATTTTAACTCGAGTCCGTCATGTGCTCTAGTGATCATAACAGTATAAAGAAATAGACATATTGCTACTGTTCAAGTAACATTGTCTGTCAAGTAGATTGATGAAAGGGCTTAACAAGAATTAACCGTGATAGAAATTGGTCGTAGGATAGCTGCTATATTATATCATCCATTTGATCCATATTTTAGTACAGTAGCTAAGTGCATAACGTGATGGTATTTGAAGCGAACGCTACTAGGTTCGAGTCCCAGATTGAACATCAACTCTGAGATGTAGGCATATCCAGCTGATAAGTCCCAAATAGGACGAAACGCACATCCTGTATTCCACTGTTAGCCACTATCCATTTTTACTTGAAAAAGCTTGTGACTTAAGGCTATATCAAGGTAATCCGCACAGGATTCGTATATGCCAACAAGAGATTGATCAGTTTCAGTCCTAAGTAACAACCGAAAGATACAAGAAGGAAAACAACACCAAGTGAACTTAAATATTAATTTACTTTCCCTTTCGGTTATTTTTGCAAAGAAATCACTACTGGAATTTTCTTTCCTTTACTCCTTCTCTTTCTCTTTCCCTCTCTCTCTCACACACTTTATTTTGTTCCTTCATAATCAATCATAAAATCAAAAGATAAATTCAATTTTCAATTTTCAAAGTTTATTAAATGACAAAAACAAAAAAAAGAGGAAGACAAAAAAGAAAAATATTGACGATTGTAATGAAAAGATTTAAATTGATTAAACTAGTGACATTTTTATTTTATTTTATCTAAATAACTATTACTCCCAAATGCTTTGGTGCTACCGAGAATGGAGAGAGTCAACTCTCCTACTCACTAACTTTTAACGGCATTACTGTTGTTTACGAAAATAAGAGGACGAAAATCGAATGTCTGGTGCTTTAACCAGGTTGATGGATATAGAGAGTCCATTTAGGTAAGTTGGAAAACCCTCATTCCAAACGAATGGTGTACATAAGCTCCAGTATCCTGAAGGGACGAATGGTGCATGAACCAACCATGGAAGTGCATCTCTTTACGTTGCTCCACTGTCCTGTGGATCTTACCTTTAGGTGAAAGGCTCCGGTTGTGGCCCTCTAAGGAAATCACCTGCTTCCTTTTGGGCACCCGGTCAGCATCACAGCCCTCACATAAACTGAATGATTTATGTGGCGCATATCTATTTGGTGCCTTCTTGTACCAATGTTAATGTTTTCCTTGTTTTGTACCACCTTTTATATGATGAAGAAAACAAATGAAACAAACTGTAATTTAGATGATGTGTAAATATTGAATAATTTTATAAGGATAGGTTTATGTTAAAGAATTAACAATAGTGAATAAGATAATCATTATACTTACTTACTTACGCCTGTTACCTCTTGTAGAAGAGTATAAGCCTCTCACCAACATTCTCCACTAAACTCTGTCCTCAACAATCCTTTTCACTTGTTTACAGTTGCTTTTCATTCTTGTGATCTCTCCTTCCGATTCCCGACGTAATGTGTTTGTTTTTATTCGTTCTCTTTCCCGTTTACTTTCACGATTCTAAGTTAGCGCTTGCTTCATGATGCAGTTTGATGTATTTCCTATCCACTTCTAGCGTTTTTTCTTGATTTGTTCCTGGAAGCTGATGTGTTCTCTCTCACAATAGACTGTTGTTGATGGTATAATGATTATTAACCATAAAGAACTTAAACAGATTATTTATTATTGCAATGTAGAACTTATCAACAATGGACTCTGACAATTTCATCAGGGATCGCACTCATAGCCGCTCACTGACTTGGTATCTAATAATTCTCTTTTGAATTTGATATCCGAATAGACAATTCATTTGAACAAGTTTGAAAGAAATGTAATTAATTACATTTGTTCTGAGATATTCTATTTATGATCACATTTCAAAGCATTCAGTCTTAAACTTATTATGATGTGTTCATAGTAATAAATTTTAAATCAAGGAAACAAAAATGTAGTCATTTACGGTGATTAGTAGAGAAAATCAGGATGCATGTTTTGTTCCACTTGAAACTTGTCAGCTGGATATACCTGTATCCTAGTGTTGACATTCCCACTAGGGTTTAGACTAGTTTTGTGGCTATTTTAATTCAATAGTCTAATGGACAGCACTATGATGTGTTGCATAATAATTACTATTTTTGACTCTTAGAGTAAATACCAATTCATGTATATTCCATTAACTTAGTTCCCAATATAATAAAATATCCATTCTAGATTTCAGTGTTGTCTACTAACTAAACTATTACCAGTATTTATTCAAAGGGATTATATGAGAACATTGACTAAATGAGTTCGTATGTCAACAAAGATTGAGCAGACGTTGTTTTCAATGGAGGTGCCTAAAAGGAAATTGGGTTGGAGGTGGTCTTAGTGACCTGAGAGCGTGACCGCAGTGCCTAAGCGACAACTGCTTGAGGTCGGTTACACATAACCTTTTTGTGGGTAATTTTTGTGTTAGCTCCGTAATTGTTGAGACCTTATCGCCGGAGACGGATATCCGTGGGATAAGGCGAGGTGTGCATTTCTAGGGTCGACCTTTTCTAACCCCACCCCTCCTTGTGGGAAGGCAGCATCGCTGTCATGCTGGTTGTCTGTAGGAAACACCTTACTGCTGTCACACCTTTGTACAGTCAGCAGTACGACTTCGCCTTCGGACCTTGAGTTTGTTGCTTTTAGTCACCGCTCTTGAACCTACCTGTCTAGCATGGCAGGACCGTGAGGAATAACTGTCCCAGCCAGTATATCTCAATTGGTTCATCACGATAGGCAAGCCCGACCACCATGTCAAGGTAGCAACAACGGTCGGGCTGTTTCCAATACAAACAATAGGAAAATAGAACTTCTTACAGACGAAACATAATCTTCATTGGTATTTTTAATTATTCTATTGAATAGTTTAAAGATAACATAGACTGAAATATTTAAATATAAATTATATGATAATTGTTATATTCCATATGTTTTATACTTAGCAATATGCAATATTGGTTGTCATCCAGTTCATGGAACTTGTTCAAGACCAGGAGAATGCGAGTAAGTTTGATTATTATCTCTAATGAATTTTAAAAAAGATTGACTAATTATATAAAAAAAACTGATTAGTCATTGAGTAGTGGCCAATGTTATATTTATCAGTATTGGCTTGTAGAGATTATTAAGTTCTTGATTGCGATCATGAAATTGATTGATGTTTGACCATCATTGAAAACCTGGAAGCACTGAACAATCATTTCGTCGTATTGTGGGACTCCTTAGCAGTACGCATCCACGATCCCGTTTGAAGGGATTTGAACATAAGACCTTCAGTCTCGCGCGCGAATGCTACACCTCTAGACCAGTGAAGCTAATCCTTATCGGGTAGAGACAAGTATCTACCTTAGTACAATGTAATATGGTCGCGCGATTTCGTGGATTGATTGAGGTTAAACATCAACATTTTTGGATACTGCCTTAACGGTCTAGAGGTTAAATATTCGCATATGAAACTGAAGGTTTTGAGTTCTCATCCTTTCTGGTGTGAGATTGTGAATACGGACTGCTGAGGAGTATCATACTACAACAAAACAACCATCCATTGCTTTCAGGTTTTCCATGATGGTAGCCTAACTTTAATCAAATCATCAACTCAATTATTAAATCAATTTTTTTTAATTTTTTTTTCTTTTCTTTCCGAATAAAGTAATTATCATCCTACACTTCCGCGCTCCCTCCCCCCCGTAAGACATAATTTCTCCACACCCCCCTCCCGAAAATATAATTTTTATAAAAGAAAGTAAATAAACAAATTATTGATTAGTTTTTTTTCTTCATAGAACTGTAATAAAATGATAATTAAAATTGTTGATCAAAATATTTTTTAGCTTATTTACTGTTGATAAGCTGATAACTCGTTTTACACATTATTAAACGTGTAAAATTAGAAAAAGAAAATATTTACAAATAAAATAATGAGATTTTTTTAAAAATTGAGACTAGGAATTGATTAATGCCAAATTAATCATGAGAATTTAGAAGCGCTGGATAGTTGTTTCGTTCTAGTATGAAACTCCTCAGCAGTGCATATCTAAGATTCCGCATGCAGGACGCGAACCCGGAACCTTTGATCTCATGCATGAATATTTAATCTCTGGATCATTGAACCGGTATCCAATGGTATGCACTGTTGAGGAGTTTCATACTAGGATGAAACAGGAGTTTAGTGTTTTCAGGTTTTAAATAGCGATCTTACATTGATCGGTTCATGATCTTAATCAAAACTTAACTATGCTGTTTTCTATTTCCCAATTACTGATAAAACAAAAAAAAACGGACAAAATAAATAAATGAATGTTATTGATGAGTGAACTCCGCCTGTAGCTCTTCCATAGTTACTGCCGGTCCCAAGCCCGAGTAAAGGAGGAGGGTTGGGCATGGGGTTATCGTCCCCATCCCGTAGAAAACTAACTCGCTAAAAAAACGCTTACCAGAAAAAATAATTCAAACCATTTAAACTCCGCCCTGATAGTTAGAAGGTCTTCACTTAGAAGAATTATGACGCTTCATAGTGAAAGCCGAGTTCCTTCGGAAGTTACGAGGCCAATGCTTCTTCTAACAACCAGAGTAACAATTTTTATAAGTATATGGAACGTCCGAAAAATGTGGGAGACTGGGAAGACTAGTCCAACGAAAGGAAACCTGAGCAAATGTGAAAACTAGATAGGCATAACACTGCTGTCAGTACCAGGAAAAGTCTTTAACGGAGTTTTGCTGAACCGAATGAAAGATGCAGTAGACGCCCAACTTCGAGATCAACAAGCTGGATTCCGTAAGGATCGATCGTGCACAGACCGAATTGCAACAGTACGAATCATCGTCGAATAATCAGTTGAGTGGAACTCGTCACTACACATCAACTTCATTGATTATGAAAAGGCATTTGACGGTGTAGATAGGAGGACATTATGGAAACTTCTTCGACACTATGGAGTTTCTGAGATGATTGTCAATATTATTCAGAATTTATATGACGGACTACAGTGCAAAGTCGTGCATGGAGGACAGCTGACAGATGCATTCCAAGTAAGAACCGGAGTAAGACAAGGCTGTTTACTCTCTCCCTTCCTCTCTCTTCTGATGGTCGACTGGATTATGAGGACCTCGACATCTGAGGGGAAACACGGAATACAATGGACAGCTCGAAATCAATTAAACGATTTGGACTTCGCAGATGACCCGGCTCTCCTATTGCATACACACGAACAGATGCAGACAAAGACAGCCAGTGTAGCAGCAGTCTCTGCATCAGTAGGCCTCAGCATACACAAGGGAAAACCAAGGTCCTCAAATTCAAAGCAGAGAACAGCAATCCAATCACTCTTGATGGCGAAACTCTGAAAGATGTAGAATCCTTCACATATCTGGGAAGCATCATCGACGAACAAGGAGGCTCAGATGCAGACGTAAAGACGAGAATTGGCAAAGCAAGGGTCGCATTCCTACAACTGAAGGATATATGGAACTCAAAACAACTTTCAACCAATATCAAAGTCAGAATCTTCAATACCAACGTCAAGGCAGTTCTACTGTATGGAGCTGAAACTTGGAGAACTACAACAACCACCATCAAGAAGGTGCAAGTATTTATAAATAACTGTTTACGCAAGATACTCAACATCCATTGGCCGGATACCATCAGCAACAGCCTTTTGTGGGAGAGAACAAATCAGCCTCCAGCTGAAGAAGAAATTAGGAAAAGACGATGGAAATGGATAGGGCATACACTACGCAAATCATTTAACTGCCTCACGAGACAAGCCCTAACTTGGAATGCTGAAGGGAAGCGGCAAAGAGGAAGGCCAAAGAACATATTACGTTGGGAAGTAGAATCATATATAAAAAGGATGAATAAAAACTAAAAAGGGTTGGAAAGGATTGCCCAGGACAGGGTTGGATGGCGAATGCTGGTGAGCGGCCTATGTTCCTTCACGAGGAGTAACAAGCGTAATTAAGTAAGTAAGTATTGATGAGTAAATAGAGCATAAATATCTATCCAAATGATTAATTAAATAGATAGAAAAACAATCAGTTCTCTGGTCATTGAATTAGTAGTTAACAGTGAAATTTGAAAAAAATTCTATTTGACTCTATTTGAAATTAGTTCATTGAATGTCGTCAATGTAGGATTTCATATATCTACAGATATCTTTTTCAATTACGTTCCGTAATACTATTTAATCAGAGTTTGGGTGCAATTAGAAAAGTAATAAATAAACCTAATTTAATATTTACTACTTGATCGATCTCTAGTATCTCAATTAACATACTGAGTACCAGAATATGAAGGAAATATCAGTCAGCTACAACGTAGGATCAAGCACATATATGCATCGGTCCAAGTTACCATACCTCATTAGCACAACAAGATGGACACCGGATTCATAAAAGTAGTTAATTCAGAGGTGGTAATATATAAAAGAAAGATTGTGTATAAGCATATACTACAGGAAGAAAGAATTAGTTCGTAGAAAGAAAAATATGAAGCGATTTTAATCTCATAGTTTAAGGGAAGACAAAGAGTGTATACACTGACGTCATTGTGATCGATGCTGAGCCATGTCACTCAGTCTCCAACCATTGGTTAGGATAGTCACGCGGACCCCAACTAAGTAGCCTGCATCTACCGACATGGCTCATACCAGAAGTTAGTGACTTTAAGCAATGATGTCACGTTTTGGTTTGGTCAGCCCTAACTTTCTTCCAACTGTCTCCAACAATAGTCAGCATTGTGCGTCGTGGTTATGTAATCAGTTACAAAGAGCAAGAGTAAAACATATATATATATATATATATATATATATATATATATATATATATATATATATATATATATATATATATATATATATATATATATATATTGAGAAACAATCGTTAATTCAATAAAATCAATAATTATGATCATCAGTCATATTTATATAAGAAGAATATGGTTTTCATTAATTGATGGTTAGATAAAGTTAAATCACATCTAAATCAAATTGAGTCAGTGTAGTAAATGTTTACAATTAAGTTACGATTGGTCACTATAGTTGTGAATATAACTATGACACTCATTGTGAGTTATTAAGTATACAAGAAGAAACAAGAAAGGATATTTATTATTGCATGTTATTGTTGTATATATATATTTAGAATTGAATTTATTAATCTCAGTTGACATTTGGCGTCATCTCACGCTGATGAAGAATGTGTAACCATCGAGGTGTGTTCTGATTCCGGTGGTCGATATCTTTTTATAGCTCTGCTCATCTTACTTACTTACGCCTGTTACTCCTCATGGAAGAGCATAGGCCACCTACAAGCACTCTCCATCCAACCCTGTCCCGGGCAATCCTTTCCAACTCTTTTTAGTTTATATTCATCCTATTTATATCTGCTTCCATTTCCCGAAGTAATGTGTTCTTTGGCCTTCATCTTTTCCGCTTTTTCGCTGCCAATTCCAACATCATTTCCTAATTTCCTCTTCAACTGAAAGCTGATTTGTTTACTCCCATATTAGGCTGTTGCTGATGGTATCCGACCAATGCAGCTTGAGTATCTTGCGTAGACAACTATTTATAAATACTTGTACCTTCTTGATGATGGTTGTATTAGTTCTCCAAGCTTCAACTCCGTACAGTAAAACTGTCTTGACGTTCGTATTGAAAATTCACGCTTTGATAGTGGCTGACAGACGGTGGGTTTGAGTTCTATATGTTCCCCAGTTGTAAAAATGCCACACTTACTTTGCCCATACGTGTGCATCTGATCTTCCTTGTTCATCGATGATGCCTCGCAGGATGAAAGCCGAGATTTGGCTGATTGCCTCATTAAAATATCTGAACATTAAAACTTCATAATCAATAAGATATTATGAATCTGTAAGATCGTTTGTTGTCAACATGATTATATGAATTAAAAGTAACACCATATTTAAGGCTTAATAATGTAATTGATATATTGATAAATACTTTTGAATTGTACACAAGGTGTACTTGTAACCTGATCATTAATAATACTTACAAAGTCAAATAAATCCATACAAGAAGATTTTATGTTCTTACTACTTAATGTTGAATTTTGGGGTTCAGTATCAAGCATAAGTCATTTATTCATTCAGCAGTATGTGATAAAGACAAGCATAATATCACATATATTAAAAGAAAAAAATGGGTAGTGGCTAGCAGTGGAATCTAGAACGCGCGTTTCGTCCTATTTAGGACTCGTCAGCTGGATGTATCCACATCTCAGAGTAGATGTTCACTCCAAGACTGGAACCTAGTATATTCGCTTCAAACACCATCGCGTTATCCACTTAGCTACTGATTCATGATAGCCATTTGCTTGTGCATTAGAGTGAAGTTTGAATTCATTTGGTATTGTTTACTTTATCTTCCTTGATTGTCTCATTATCGAGGCAATACATACGGTATGCATATATAGCAATAAGAGATTGATCAGTCGCAGTTTTAAATATCAACAGGCAAGTAGTTATCAGGACTAAGTAGCTACGTAGATAGCGCGACGGTGGTTGAAGTGAATGGTACTGGGTTCGAGTCCCACAGTGAACATCAACTCTGAGATGTAGGTACATTCAGTTGACGAGTCCCAAATAGGACGTAACGCGTGTCCTGTACTCCACTGCTAAGCAGTATCCATCTTTGCTTATAATGCTTGTGAATTAGGGCAATATCGAGGCAATACACAAAGGATAAATACATGTCAACAAGAGATTGATCAATTGGAGTCTTAAACCTCAATGGGAGGATTTAAGAAAAACAATACCAAGTGAATTTATCACATTTATTGTTTCTTTTCTGTTTAATTCTACTCATAATAACTTTCATTTTTCATTTAATCATTCTATACATTATCTTTCTTTATAAGTTGTTCAACTGGTTGGCAAGGTCCACTTTGTGATGAATGTATAAAATATCCAGGATGTAAACATGGAACATGTAATGATGCACCATTTACATGCCGTTGTTTACCTAATTGGGGTGGATCATTTTGTGATCAAGGTCAGTTGACGTTAGATATAATAATAATAATAATAATAATAATAATAATAATAATAATAATAATAATAATAATAATAATAATAATAAAAACCAGCTTTCCTCAATACATTAACGAATTCACAAGGGAAACTATAGAAAACTGTTTAAAATATGCCTACTTTTTAAGGATTTAAGTAATGAATATTACATAATTATGTGTGATTACATGATTACATGTATAGAAACCATTTCATAATGTTTCTGATTGAGATCATGAACCGATTGATGTTAAATCACCATTGAAATACTGGAAGCACTGGACAGCCGTTTCGTCTTATTTTAGGACTCCACAGCAGTGCTCATTCATGATACCGCTTGCGGGCTTCGTTGAGGTTAGACATAAATACCTATGGATGCAGGTCTAGAGGTTAAGCGTCCCCGTGGAAGGCTGAAGGTTCTGGGGTCGAATCTCGCGAGGTGGGCTCGTGAATATGCACTACTGAGGAGTCTCACAGTAGGACGAAACGGCCTTTCAGTGCATCCAGGATTTCAATGGTGATCTAACATCAATCGGTTCATGATCTTAATCAAAAGCTTAATAATTTCCACAACCTTATAGTGATATTTCATAATGTATCATCATATTCTTAATAAGAATTATGTTTATAATGCATCTCTCAAAGAATGTGTTATGTTCCGATAAGTATAATGAATGGTAACCTCTGGGATCCATTTATGGGTTATAACAGAATGCTATCACATGTGAAGTTTTAATTTAATCACCATTGTGAATGATTTAATATTGCAGAGTAATTCACTAAATATCATTAGGTTAGAAGTAACCAGTATAAAAGTGTTGAAATAAATTTGTACTAGTTGACACCACCCCCATAGTAACTAGATATATCTGTGTTCTTGAAGAAATTGATGCTTCTCGTAAAGTTTGAATCTTGATTTTTATAGTTAGAGAAAATTCTCACGTAAACTATTCAGGCAATAGTCAACTTATTGAGTTATTAAACATAGTCAATCAGATAGAATTAATCAATTTTCTGTTTGACAACTTTTAGTGTTAACTGAATTCAAAATGAAACTATTTCATGTCAACACCATAGGTTTATACTTACTTATATGATTCATTCATTTACATTAATACAAATATCACAATAGAGTATTCTATACTAATTCTATTTTCTATTTTATTATTCATTAAATGAATAAATAGATCTGGATTATTGTGGACGACATCAACCATGTTTAAATAATGGAATATGTAGAAATTTGAATTCTTCATATTCAAAACCATTCAATTGTAGTTGTACACGTGATTTTACCGGAGAATATTGTGAAATAAGTAAGATTTTAATGTATAATTTTTTTTTTGGATTAAATTATTCATTGTTAATTAATTTAGAAATTTGTTACTTACTTACTTACGTCTGTCACTCCTCGTCGAAGATGAAAGATCATCAACAAGCATTGTACATCTAATTCTATCCTGGACAATTCCTTGTTTACAATTGCTACTCATCCGCTTCATGTCTGTTTCTAATTCGCGATGCGGTGAGTTCTTTCGTTTTCTTTTTTTCTGCTTCTCTTCACTATTCCAAGCTAGCGGTCGCGTTGTAATGCAGTATGATCGTTTCCGTAATGTATGTCCTATCGAATTTCATTGTCTTTTCCTAGTTTCCTCTTCAAATGGAAGCTTCGTTATTCTCTCGCACAGTGGGTTATTGCTGATGGTATTCTAACAACGAACATCGATTATCTTATGCATACAAATGTTTAGAAATACTTGTACTATTATGATGATGGTTGTAGTACTTCTTCAGGTTTTAGTTACGTACAGTGGAACTGTCTTGACGTTCGTATTGAGGATTCAGACTTTGACATTGACTGACAGACAGTTGTTTTGAGTTCCATATGTTCTGTAGTTGTAGGAATGCTGCCCTTACCTTGCCAATCCTTCCCCTTACGTTTGCATAGGGTCATCTTTGTTCATTGATGATGCTGTCCAGGTACGTGAAAGTTACTACCTGTTCCAATCTTTCTCCTTCGAGTGTGACTGATTTTGTTGGTGATCTCCATGTTGTATTTAAGGATATTTCTTTTTACTTTGTGTATATTGAGGTCTACTGATTCAGAAGCTGCTGATGATTTTTTTGTCTTGACCGGTATTTGTTGGTATGTATTGGATAGAAGGGCTAGGTGATCTGTTAAGTCCAAATAGTCTAGTTGCATTCAAGCCGTCGAGATTTGTTAGTATAATTTTATCTGCCAAGTAAGGAGTTTATATACTCACTTTCGAGTTATTAGATTTTTCTCAAGGCTAACCGATTCCTCATGACGAAGTTAAATGTGGGTAGTAGTGTTTGAATGTTAGGCTAACAGAGGAGCTATTGTCCTCGACGGTGATAAGTAACAATAAATGTATTCATAAAACTTTTCTGAGAACTTGATTTTAGAGTCTATGGGAGTTTGATTTTTGATTCTCTTGAAATTCATTAATTACTTGTGTTTACTTGTATTTAAGTGTATGTCGGCACTGCAAACAACTACCATAAATCGAACATCTAATTTACGACCTGGATGATCCGGGTTTAAAACGTACAAGATCCATCTGTTTACTTATGATTGTTGATTACCTTCAATCTAGCAATATCAATATAATAAACCCATATTGCCATTATTATGATTATATCAAAGACTTCACTCACTTTATACTGTTGAAAAGGTCAAATAAGGGAAAACTTATCTTAAGATCTCTATGAGATATCAACGTTGGATAATAAATCAACATAAACATTGAAATAGACAGGATAAGATGAATTGTTTAATACATCAAAAGACCGGATTATGATTGTTTTAACCCGAACAAATAAATACAAATAAGATGAGAAGTGAAACGTGAAATCTTCATTTGCAATTTCATGAATCATTTGACAAAAATCAGATCAACCATTAAATTCATTTGCATACACTGTTAATGAATCATAAATAAAGCGGAACATCAGGTCAAATGCCTGTTAGGTTTCATTTATTATTTATATAATGTCAGTTTATAGATAGTTCTCTTCAAACTATGGAGAATCGCCACACGATTGAAATGACCTAAAAGCGAAAATAATTTAGCAAATGTCATTTATCTACTTATGAGTAGCTAATATAATTAAAATAACCCATAGTGTCATTGAATAAGAAAAAGAGAATTCAGCGAAGAAAATTTTCTTTTCGACGAAATCATTTACTTTAGCTGTACATTCGTATATATAGTTATATGGAAAATGTATGTCTATAGAAGGATAGAATGGATTGTATCAAAAAGTGGATTCGACAATAAATAACAAATGAGGTTAGCTAATATAGTAATTATAAAAAAGGTGCGTTGATTTGGTAAGTTAATGACATGGCTATCAGACAGACAGAGATCGTTGAAATTGCACTTAGTTAAAAGTAATTGATATATACTTTGTAGTCCTTCAGTATAGTATTTTGCAGGTCAGATAAATTTGTTAAATAAATGGTGAGACTATAATTTATGGACGACATTTGAGCGACGCTGAAGTGACTTTGAGGGTTTTCACCTAATTACTAGAACCAAATGAGGGTTATAAACCAATGTGAGGAACTAAAGTTATGATTTGCAGTTGATGGTTAGATTTAAATTTAGGGTTATCATCACAAAATGACATCAGCTATAATACCAAAACTCTATTTAGTGAAATGGATGAATGAATTTCGCGCCGAAATCCGGGAGTTGTTATCTTATACCTTATTGGTTCGTCCATTAATTATAGTCTCACTAAATGACCAATGAAAATTTGCGGTGGATAACCGCGAGTATTTTTCTTTATGGATGTACATTTTACGAACTTAAGTATATACGATTGAGAGAAAATTCAATTCAACTGAATTAATAATCAGTTTTCTATGAAAGGTATTCAAGTTATCATCATCTTTGACTTAACTAAACTAAACTAAATAAAGGAAATCAATTGAAAACTGTATCATCCTTTTAGTTAACGAAAATATTAACAACTTGAATTTTGTATTAAGTCAGTTAATCATCTTAAACACGAGCTGTAAATATCCTTTAACAGTCCTGATGATTCATTTCACTATGAAACTGAACTCGTTGACATTGATGTTGAATGTGACATCAAATCGTGAACAGCTCGTGACTGATAGGTCCTGGGTTCGAATCTCTTGAAGTGCGATCGTGGATGCATACTGTTGAGAAGTTCTATACGAGAGTGAAACGGCCGTCCAGTGCTTTCAGGCTTCCTATGGTGGTCTAGTTTTAATTGAAACATGAACTAAACTATTAAAATTTTAATTTTCCTGTTTATTTTTCGATAATTAATATAGAATTGGCACCGTGTACAAATGATCCGTGTAAACGTGGTCGTTGTATATCAAAAGATAATATCACTTATGAATGTGAATGTCAACCAGGATGGCGCGGTGATCACTGTGAAGAGAGTAAGTTCAATGGTTAAAAGTTGCTTGACATAATACTTTAGACGTTTACATAGAAAATAAAGGATTTGGGGATCAGATACCAGAGTATACACCAACTTTGGGTTCTATAAGATACATCCTGCTGACGAGTGGTAAATAAGATGACACGCGCGTCGTTAATTGCACTGTTAGCCACATAATGTCTATTCTGAATCAACTTGTCTGACTTATGTTTTAAACGATATGTTTTAATAAGCCTAATTGACCTGTATGATAACTCAAATGTTTTTTATCTGACTATCCGATCAGATTCAATATAAAATTTAATACACCACCTAATAGTTGAAACAAGCGGCAATGAGGAAGTAAGAAGACTAAGTGCGTAAGGAGCTTTATTGTCAGCACTGAGTCGAAAATATACATAAATCATGTATAGATGAATACGTGATAAATGATCCAGACAGGGATATGTAGGCTATGAACAATACACTTACTCATAATACCATATCTACAGTTGCGTTTCTCATCTGCCAATTAGTCTAAAGTCGGAATATGATCTACCTGGCTTTTCAGGAACATATGGCGTAAGCTAGCTTGAATTCTGTACGACCTGGGAACTTGATAGGAGAGTAGAAAATTCTGAAAGTTCTAGGTTCCATTCCTGATAGTTTCATGGAGTAAACTCGTTATAAAGTTTCATACTACGACGGAATAACTATCCAGTACTTTCCAGTTTTAAACAGCTATTTTATGAAAGTCAGTTTGTGAAAACTCAGTTAGTCAGCAACAAGGTAGAGCTTCGTACGTACGTACATCCATTCGAGTTGCCATACCACATTACCACACGAATATAATTGTCGATTCAAATGCCATGGTGGTACAGGTAGTAAGAGTATAAGCAGTAATCGGAAAAAGTAGTGTTTGAAGATGTTATTCATATAGTATAATCCAGTGAAATAAATTTGGAAAGAGGAAAAAAAGAAAGGGACATGAAGAATTCAAAAGATAAGAATTTGGGAGAACACGAAGAGTATATGCACCTGCTCCATTGCAAGAGATTTTGAGCCATGTCATTCAAGGTCTCTAACCGTCAGTTTCTATCGTCTAACGGATTTCAACCAGGTAGTCCATATCTATCAACATGGATCAGTCCACTTGTAAGTGATTTCATGGATTTGTGCCATGTTTTGATCTGGCCTCCCCTAGCTTTCTTCCAACCTGCTCCTACACCATAAAACATCGCACGTCGAGATAGTCAGTGGTTGAGCATACGTAACAGACGTTCCAGCAATCTCAACTGATGAAGTAGCAAAACTTCATCAGTTGATTTGCCATCCTTACCAAGTACCCATTTCCTAACAACTGCATTACTTACTCACTGGTCAAGTTTGTGATAACTACGGAATATATAATTATTCGGTTTAATGGTACAATTTTTCTCCCATATTAAATTATTCAGTAAAACACAAATCTCAGTTTCTATTTATGTTTGTAATAAAACATACTTTTTCTCTATTGCATATTCAAACTTCGATAAGATATTGATTATTGCTTAATCAATACATGTTTAAATGGTGGAACATGTCAAGATTTAGATGGTCCTGGTTTCCAATGTTTATGTCCATCTGGTTTCAAAGGATCTAATTGTCAATTAAGATCACCATGTAGTAATTCACAATGTGTACATGCAGTCAATTGTAAACAATTAATACAACCAGTGAATGGGATTGATTATGAATGTATGTGTCAACCTGGTTGGACAGGACAATTTTGTGATCAAAGTAAGTTGACATTTTAAAAATTTAGAAATTTGGTCAGTTATTTTCATATTTATGATACATTAGAATCTCACAGTTGATCGATCACTGGGTGGTGATTAATGTCATGTGTGTTAAGTCCTTATTTAGTGAGGATCGAATGCTATCGATCATGTTGCAATGTGGCCACTAGTCTAGGTGACTTGACACTGCGGGCACTATAGATTGAGATTAGATGATGGTTGAAGGTAGTGGACAGGAAACATTGGACCAGGGTTTCGTGCTATTTGACACTCGTCCGCAAGGTGTACCTGTAATCTTGAGGGAACTGGTGCTTCCTGGCAGTCATTCGCGGCTCGAATAGCTCAGTGGTAACGCCTCGGATTGTGAAGCTGGGTGACACGGGATCGAATCCGCCAGGGAGCACCAGTTCCTTCAAGATTACAGGTACACCTTGCTGATGAGTGCCAAGTAGCACGAAACCCGTGTCCAGGGTTTCCTGTCGACTACCTCCAACTACCACCTACATTAAAATCTATTTGGGGCCATGTTTGACAACATTTCAGTCTGCTTACTTGTAAGATATTGATGATGTGATGAACTGATTACCATCAGTACAATCTCAGCATCTTTATCATACAGTTGTATCATCTGCATATCATCGGCTATGAAGTAACCACTGAGATCAAATATCGTTAAGAATTATATTTTCAATAGTTTAAAGATGATTTGTCGAGATCAATATAAGAAAAAACAACAACCGGTTGACAAGTCGTGAGAAGTAAAAGCTGCTGTCTTTTATTATGAAGTGATTCCAAAGTGTTTAAATATGTGAGGCATAATTGTTTCTTATAAGAAGCTGAAGAACACTTCAGTAACTCTGTTACTGATTAAGACCAATAAAACCACTGAATGAACACTGTTGAGGTGGTAGAATATAAAAGTGGAAGTAGTAAAATGGAAACCTTTGAACTAAGTTACCCGGTATCCAATACTGGTCAGTAAGACGTGCCCAAAATCTTAAGGAAACTGTTGGTCTGTGTTGGATTTGACTCCAGATCACAAATCATATGTCCAAATTTTCCAGTCAACTATCTAAAAATACCCAACATCTCAACATAATATACACGGTTTTTAAGTCACTTGAACTAGTGACCATATTGCAGCTTGATTGATAGTTCTCAATTAGCACTAAAAATGAGATAAACATGATATTATACACTGCTCATTAATCTGTCATTGATCAGAAATAGAGATTTTAAAGGAAGAAAATATATTGTTTGATAATGTTGAGAATTCTGTCTGACTAAGCTGAGATGTGAAACATGGTCAAGCTTTCATTTATTGTACAATATGATGATTGATGCCATAGCAATACACTGTATGAAAGTTAACAATAGTCGATGTATAACATGATAATAAACCGTGCAACCAGTGAATATTTATTCGAATAAAGATGAAGCAACTCCACCTATAGCTCTTCTAGGGTTACTGCCATTCCCAAGCTCGGATAAAAGACTTACTTACTTACTTACGCCTGTTACTCCTCGTGAAGGAGCATAGGCCGCTCATCAGCATTCGCCATCCAACCCTGTCCTGGGTAATCCTTTCCAGCTCCTTCCAGTCCCTATTCATCCTTTTCATATCTGCTTCTATTATCCGACGTGATGTGTTCTTAGGCCTTCCTCTTTGCCGCTTCCCTTCAGTATTCCAAGTTAGGGCTTGTCTCGTGAGGCAGTTTAATGATTTGCGTAGTGTATGCCCTATCCATTTCCATCGTCTTTTCCTAATTTCTTCTTCAGCTGGAGGCTGATTTGTTCTCTCCCACAAAAGGCTGTTGCTGATGGTATCCGGCCAATGGATGTTGAGTATCTTGCGTAGACAGTTATATATAAATACTTGTACCTTCTTGATGATGGTTGTTGCAGTTCTCCAAGTTTCAGCTCCATACAGCAGAATTAACTGTCTTGACGTTCGTATTAAAGATTCTCACTTTGATATTGGTTGAAAGTTGTTTTCAGTTCCATATATCCTTCAGTTGTAGGAATGCGACCCTTGCTTTGCCAATCCTCTCCTTCACGTCTGCATCTGACCCTCCTTGTTCATCGATGATGCCTCTCAGGTATGTGAAGGATTCTACATCTTTCAGAGTTTCGCCATCAAGAGTGATTGGATTGCTGTTCTCTGCTTTGAATTTGAGGACCTTGGTTTTCCCTTATGTATGCTGAGGCCTACTGATGCAGAGACTGCTGCCACACTGGCTGTCTTTGTCTGCATCTGTTCGTGTGTATGCAATAGGAGAGTTAGGTCATCTGCGAAGTCCAAATCGTCTAATTGATTTTGAGCTGTCCATTGTATTCCGTGTTTCCCCTCAGATGTCGAGGTCTTCATAATCCAGTCGATCACCAGAAGAGAGAGGAAGGAAGAGAGTAGAAAGCCTTGTCTGACTACGGTCCTTACTTGGAATGCATCTGTCAGCTGTCCTCCATGCACGACTCTGCATTGTGGTCTGTCATATGAGTTCCGGATAATGTTGACAATCTTCTCAGGAACTCCGTAGTGTCGAAGAAGTTTCTATAATGTCCTCCTATCTACACTGTCGAATGCTTTTTCATAATCAATGAAGTTGATGTGTAGTGACGAGTTCCACTCAGCGGATTGTACGACGATGATTCGTAGTGTCGCAATTTGGTCTGTGCACGATCGATCCTTACGGAATCCAGCTTGTTGATCTCGAAGTTGGGCGTCTACTGCATTTTTCATCTGGTTCAGCAACACTCTGTTGAAGACCTTCTCTAGTACTGACAGTATTGTGATTCCTCTGTAGTTTTCACATTTGCTCAGGTCTCCTTCCTTTGGAATCTTGACGAGGTACCCTTCTTTCCAGTCCATCGGCACTTGTTCTTCCTGCCAAATCTTTTTGAATAGAAGGTAAAACATGTTTGTAGTTACTCCGATGTCTGACTTCAGTGCTTCAGCTAGTGTGTTGTCGGATCCTGCTGCTTTCCCGTTCTCGATTTGTCTGACGGCCATTCTGATTTTTTCCTTCGTTTGTGGGTTGATGTCTATGGGAAGATCTGTGTGTGCTGCTTCGATGTCCGGTGGATTCATTGGAGCCGGCCTATTCAGGAGTTCCTCGAAGTATTCTACCCACCTGTTCCGCTGTTGTTGAATTTCAGTGATTGGCTTGCCTTCTTTGTCTTTGACCGGTCTCTCTAGTTTACTGTATTTCCCTGATGGTTTCTTCGTTGTATCGTAAAGCTGTTTAATATTTCCTTCTCTAGCAGCTTTTTCCACCGTCGTCGCTAGTTCTTCCACGTATTTCTTCTTGTTGGTTCTAATGCTCCTCTTCACTTGTTTGTTTGCTTCTATGTATTCAGCTTGTGCTTGGACTTTCTCTGCTCGTGTTCGGCTGTTGTTTATTGCTGTCTTCTTGTTCTTCCTCTCTTTGATCTTGTCCAGTGTTTCTGTAGAGATCCATTCCTTATGATGGTATTTCTTTAGACCCAGAACCTCTTGACACGTTGAAGTTAATGCTTCCTTAATGCCTTTCCAGTTGTCCTCCATAGTAGTTTCTCCTTTCAGTAGATCTTGTAAGGCTTGGAACCTGTTGTTGAGAGCCATCTTGAATTCATTGAGTTTGTCAGTATCTCGAAGGAAGGCTGTATTGAACCTTTGTATTGCTGTTTGTCCACTTGTTCAGTTCTTTTTTAGCTTCAGTTTTAAATTGGCTACAACTAGGTGGTGATCTGAAGCTATGTCAGCTCCTCTCCTGGTTCTCACATGTTCCATTGTCCTTCGGAATGTTTTGTTGATGCAGATATGATCTATCTGGTTCTCTGTAATGTAGTCCGGTGAGATCCATGTAGACCTGTGTATACGCTTGTGTGAAAATATTGTGCCTCCTATGACCAATTTGTTGAATGCACATAGATTTGCAAATTTTTCTCCATTTTCGTTTCTCTCTCCCAGTTCATGTAGTCCCATGATATCTTCATATCCAGTGTTGTCTATTCCGACTTTGGCGTTTAGATCTCCTATCAGAGTAGTGGGGTCGTTTCTTGGGCACTTCGCTGTGATTGATGGAAGCCTCTCATAGAATTGATCTTTCATGTCGTCGTTGTTATCACTGGTGGCTGCATAACAGTGGATAACATTCATTGTGATCCCCTCCTTCTTTGTTTTGAATGATGCTTTGATGATTCTGGATCCGTGAGATTCCCATCCTACAAGTGCATTTTGTGCCACTTTGGACAGCATTAGAGCGACTCCCTGAGTGTGTGGAGCATTTTCCTTTTCGTGACCGGAGTATAGCAGCATCTCTCCCGTATTGAGCCTTTGTTGTTCAGCTTGGGTCCCATGGGCTTCGCTGATTCCCAGTACTGCCAAGTTTTGTCTCCTCATTTCCGTTGCTATTTGACTGGTCTTCTCGGTCTCCCCCATTGTCAGGACGTTCCATATACCTATAATAATTGTTGCTCTGGTTGTTAGAAGGGGCATCGGCCTCATGGCTTCCAAAAGAATTCGGCTTTCACTATGAAGCGTCATAATTCTTCTAAAAGAAGACCTTCTAACTCCCAGGGCAGAGTTAAAATGGTTTGGATTAATTTTTCCGGTAAGCGTTTTTTTAGCGAGTTAGTTTCCTACGGGATGGGGTCGCTAACCCCATGCCCAACCCTCCTCCTTTACCCGGGCTTTGGACCGCCAGTAACTCCAGAAGAGCTACAGGCGGAGTTTCGGATAAAAGGAGAGGGTTACAAATGAGAACATCAACCCCATCTCGCAGAAAACAACACTGCAAAAAAATACGCTAACCATAATAGACGATCTAAGCCTTAAATTTCTGTCCTCCAAGTTTAAGGATCTTTATGCAGAAGAAGGAGGCCACGAGGTTGATGCCCCTTCTAACAACCTGAGCAACAATTATTATAGGTACGTGGAATTTCCGGACAATATGAGAGACCGCCAAGTCCAGTCACATATCAACCGAAATGAGGAGATACAACTTGACAGTAATCGGAATCGGCGAAACTCACTGAACCAAATCTGGACACCAAAGGCTAGATACGAAAGAAGTGCTGTTGTACCTCCAGTCACGAAGAAGAAAATGCTCCAAGCACTCAGGAAGTTGATCTGATGCCGTACAAAGAAGCACATAACGCACTTATAGGATGGGGATCTCATGGATCCAAGATTATCAAGGCATCCTTCAAAACAAAGAAAAAAGCAATCACGATTAAATTAACCGGATTTCAAGGTAACACACACAGACCTTCCTATCAATGCCACTCCACCATCATTACTTGCTTTCTTTCTTCTTCTTATGATTGGATTGCTTTTATTTTTCTCTGTCACAGTTTGAACAGATACGTCAACTTCATTCCTTAAACTAGATATTAAATGTATATTGTTATTTTTTTCTCTAATTTAGTCTGTTTACAATCAGCTGATCTCAATCATTGTACTCATCATTTAATGACTTGTCTATTGTCATTATATGGAGATTATTATCATTTTATATAATTGATAATTATCACTAGTTTGTATTTGAGAGGAAATTCGAAGAAAGTTAAAAAAAAACCGAGATCAAATCATCTACGTCTGAAGTTTTGTTTCTCGTACCGGAACACATAATATTAACACCTTCTGTTGATATATTCAAAGCGAGATTGAACCTCTACAGTGTTACAAACTGCAAGGATTAATATTTTTTTGATTGAGATCATGAACCGGTTAATGTTAGATCATTGTTGAAAACCTGGAAGCACTGGACGACCGTTTCATCCTATTAATTTTAGATCGATAAGACCTCCTATCCTTATTACTAAAGACTATTTTGCATTAATTCCTAATAAGTTAAATATTTTCATATTAACATAACATTTAGTAGCATAAACTGTAATATTTAAACAGATGAGATTGAATGATCCACTTTGAATAGCAGAAATACAGCATCTACGGTTGTTGATTTTTCTTCGAGAGTTAGCTTTCTATGGGACGGGATCGCTAACCCCAAACTAAACCCTTCTCCTTTACCCGGGATTGGGACTGGCAGTAACTCTAGAGGAGCTACAGGCTTCTAGAAGCTACTAGCTTCCAGCTGAGAAGGAAATTAGGAAAAGACGATTGAAATGGATAGGATATACATTACTCAAATCATCAAACTGCATCACGAGGCAAGCCCTAACTTGGAATACTGAAGGGAAGTGGAAAAGAGGATGGCCTAAGAACACATTATGTCGGGAAATAGAAGCAGGTATGAAAAGGATGAATAACAACTTGAAAGGATTGTCCAGGACAGGGTTGAATAGAGAGTGCTGGTGAGCGGCCTATGCTTCTGCACGAGGAATAACAGGCGTAAGTAAATAAGTAAGTAATCAAGGTTGTTGATATCTTTCACTGATCAATTCTTTTGAAGTGAATTCGACTAAACGTGTTCATAGCCATTAATCATACACCTTTAACTATTCAATAATAAGCAGAGATGCATAATGATATTCATTCATTTACTTCTTTATGAATTACGTGACTTACTTCAATCATTTATTGATTTCTCATTTGTTTATAGTAATAGATTACATAACTATTTATTAATGATTGTTTTTTCCTCTTCTAACTAATTAAGATATCGATGATTGTGTGGACAAATGCCAAAATGGAGGAACATGTCACGTAAGTAACTTACTAAATAATAATGGTAATGGTAGTGATATTATTATTATCATCATTATTAATACCATTAGTAGCAGTAGTAGTAGCGTGATTAGTAGTAGTGACAGTAGTAGTAGTAGTAGTAGTGGTAGTAGTGGTAGTAGCAGTGGTGGTGGTGGTAGTAGCAGTAGTAGTATTAGTGTGAGTAGTAGTAGTTTTTATTTTAACACAGATATTGGTATAATCAGGCACCAAATACATATGCGTCACACAAATTTCATTTGATATGTGTGACGGCTGTGATACTGTCCGGGTGCCCAAACCGAAGCAGGTGGTCTTCTTAGGGGGCCACACCCGGAACCTTCAACCTGAAGGTCTAATCCACAAGGCAATGGATCATTTTGAGAAGATGCTTTTCCATGGTAGCCGATGACCAACGATTGGTTCATAGGCCATTTGTTCCTTCAAGATACTGGAACTCATGTGCACCATTGGTTTGGAATCAGGGTTTTGATAGTGGTAGTAGTAGTACTAGTAGTAGTAGTCAGTTAGTTAGTTACCTATAATCAATATTTTTGACAATGGTTCTGAGTTGAAAATTCACTTCTCTTGGGATTTCAATAACAAACTATGACTTGATGAATTACATCATCCATGTCAAAGAATTGTTATTTATTTAGGGATTTTTTGAAAGTACTTTTCTGTTTGTTAGTAGACGTTGCACGTTTTCTGCATTTCCATATTGATTATATTTTGAACAATTTGTAGTACTAGAATATGGATGTTCCATCTATTCAATTTAGTTTGAGATTCGACAGCCTGATTTCCTTATATTTCAATATGCATTGATATTTAAATTAAGAACAGAACTTAGTTTTTATCGGGTTCAAATGTCAGTTAAGCTTTCTTTCCTCCAGAGACCTATAGGTTCAGAGTTTGATTTCTGTCGAGATTGTAAGTGAGTACTTCTGTGGAGTATCGTACTAAGACAATACAAGATATCTAATGATCTCTTATTCCGAATGATATTCAAAAGCAGGACAGTCTTTGATGATTACTATCCAGAAATATTCAATGTAGTAATTTTCTATTCATTTCCTACTCTAATATAGATTAGAGTGAAATAATTTTATTTGTTTGTTTATATTTCTTTCAGGATCTTCTAGATGATTTCTATTGTACTTGTCCAATTGGATTTGAAGGTAGACATTGTGAAATTAATCGTGAATGTTCTAGTAAACCATGTCAAAATAAAGGAATTTGTCATGAAATTCCTGGTGGTTATTTATGTGAATGTCCGAATGGATTTATAGGACAAAATTGTGAAGTGAGTGAGAAAAAAGTTTTTCACTGATAACATAATAAAATCTACAATAAATGAATCGGTTGTAAAAATAGCCCCCGAATGTCCTGGTACGGCTGCGAGTTGGGAGAGTCAGCTCTCCTTCTCAAAATGCTCTCACATGGACACGTGCATACAACCAATCCCAGAGGAGTCCTACTCATTACCTTCTCGCAGTATTACTGTTGTTTACAAAATTCAGAGGACGAAAATCAAATGTCTGGAGCTTCAACAGGATTGGTAAATATGGAGAGTCCACCTATGACAGTTGGAAAACCCTGATTCAAAACCATTGGTGTACATGGACTCCCAGATCCTAAGGAAATGAATGGCGTATGAACTTATTTTTGAACGCCGGCTACCACAAGATTATATCACCTGAAGTTGCTCCACTGCCTTATGAATCAGACCTTTAGGTTGAAGGCTCCGAGTGTAACCGCCTACGAAAACTACCTGCTTCGATTTGGGCACCTGGGCAGTATCCTAGCACTCACAAAAATAGGATGATTTATATGGCGCATATCTATTTGGTGCTTCCTTATACCAATGTTTATGTGATTAAATAAATAATATAACTCATCAGTTCATTAGAAATGACTTCAAGTTCATTATTATTACTACAGTTATGAGAATGTTGTAAGACATAATTCAGTCATTGATTTTAAAGTGTTATTCACTAGCACTGTTGTTGAAACGCTGTGTGGAGTTTCTGCAAAGATCATCAAATGTTTCATTCAAGCGAAATACTTTGGTGTAATTAAGTTCCGGTAGAAACTCATCAGTCAGTTATGTTGAAAGTTTACATAAATATCGCTTAATATAATTGAAGACTTTATGTCATGTTCAGCTGCATTATTAACGGTTCACATTTACGAGTAGATCAGTAGACACAGAGGCTAAAAGATTAATTATTTAGAGCGATCACCTAATTTTGTATCTGTCAATTCGACTGCATTCATAGAGCAAGTTCTATTGGTTCTCTGAGCAGTTCAGAGAACAAAACTCCATCAAAATCATCCCTCTGAGCTACAAATCTTCTCCACCATCTCAATTTACATTCTCGTGCTCATGAATACCTTCCCGATTGCTTAAGCAAAGATTTAGTGAAAAAAGTGAACAGCTCAACATCAGCCCATTTAATGTAAACCAGTCACAGTTCCAGTATACTCCAATCTTTCTCAATTATTTATCAGTTTAGAAATATTTTCTCAAGGTCTGTCAGATCCAAGGTCTTTCAAAGGGTAAAAGCTGTAACCATTCGGACTAAAAAACTGTAGCCAAGTGTATGAAATCAATATCTCCAACCGCTTATCTTACATTGGTCAACCTCACGGCAAATTAATCAATAGCAATCAAATATAATCTTTGTTATTCACATATCTTTGGATTATTATTATTATTATCATTATTATTATTATTATTATTATTATTATTAGTAGTAGTAGTAGTAGTAGTAGTAGTAGTAGTGATAGTAGTAGTAGTAGTAGTAGTAGTAGTGATAGTAGTAGTAGTAGTGATAGTAGTAGTAGTAGTGATAGTAGTAGTAGTAGTGATAGTAGTAGTAGTAGTGATAGTAGTAGTAGTAGTAGTAGTAGTAGTAGTAGTAGTAGTAGTAGTAGTAGTAGTAGTAGTAGTAGTAGTAGTAGTAGTAGTAGTAGTAGTAATATTGGTTTAATATCACTAATAATGTCCCGAGTACATGACTAATCTCCTTGACACTCACACCACATTATAAATTCCCACTGAATTCAGATTACTTTAGTCTTGATCGAATTTATAATTGAATTATTATTTCTCTCACCTTATCTGAACCATATTTATTCTGATCATGAATCTCATAAGTTCATTTAATATATAAGTCATTCCAACATTGACAACTTTATTTTAATGGTTGAATTCATGTGTCGATCTAAGCTAGACCACTATTGAAAACCTGAAAGCACGGAATGGTCGTTTCTTCCTCGTATGGGACTCCTCAACAAAGTGCATTCATGATCCTACACAATAGAGGACTCGAGCCCAGGATCTTCGGCCTCACGTGCGAATGCTTAAACTCTAGACAACTGAGTCGGCAACCAACGGTGTCAATGTCTAACCTCAAGGAATGGTGGGATGGTGGATGCGTATTGTTGAAGAGTCCTACAATAAGACGAAACGGCCATCCAGTGCCTCCAGGTTTTCAATGGTGATCTGACATCAATCTCAATCAAATCTCCAGGTTAATTATTTTATTTCTCAAAGAACAATGTAAGTAGTCTTTCAAGATAAAGTAAATTTCATCTGTTATTTTGTTTGATTTTTTCTTTCTATTCTATGAAAGATTTCAATAAATGGATGTAATCCAAATCTTTGTCAAAATGGTGCTTATTGTTATACATTATCTAGTGGTTTCTATTGTAAATGTTCAGAAAATTTTTATGGACAATTTTGTGAATACCAAAGACCATATTGTGGACCAGATGGTTGTGATACATTAATGGATCCATGTTTAACTATGTTAATTATGCATAATAATGATACATTCCCATATACTTCTTCTTCTACTTCTTCGTCCTCGCTGACGTTAACATCTTCAGTATTAACTCTTCAACAATCAACAATGATTCCGAGAAATTCAACTCAATCAAATTACGATAATTTATTAATTAGTCATCATGAGATCACATATCCTTATGGTGTATGTGGTCAACATGGTACATGTGTTAGTACAGATAATGGAGATTATAAATGTATCTGTGGAACTGGTTATCAAGGAAAATATTGTCATCAATCAATTAATTATTGTGAAACTATGCCATGTATGAATGATGGTACATGTATAAGTGGTTTAGAAGGTTATGAATGTATATGTGAAGAGGGGTTTAGTGGTGTGCAATGTGAACATCGTAAGTGACTTTTTTTAAAACAAATTTCTCACATTAATTATAAGATAATTATGAAATTTTAAGCGTTAAGATCATAAGTCAGTTGAAGCTAGACCATCATAGAAAACCCGGAAGCACTGGACGGCCGTTTCGTCCTATTGTGGGACTCCTCAGCAGTGCGCAGCCACGACCTCACCCCCTACGAGATTCGAACCCAGGACCCACTGGTTTCACGCGCGAGCACTTGACCTCTAGACCACTGAATCAGCCGGCATCCAACGGTGTTAATGTCTAACTTCAAATAATCCACGAAATTGAACGAAACATCCACCATTGTCTTCAGTGAGTTACTATATCACAACTGACCCAGTTGAACTCCAATGGTCACTACTTTGCACTAGAATTCCAGGAAATACCTCTTGAAGCCAGACAGTATAGAGCATATGTTGATTAATATCAGATGGGTTTTGTGGATCTTAACCATTGAAATTACTATAATATCCACAAAATCCCTTCTGATGGTAATTTGGTTTGGACAGCTGAACCTTCAACTTTAAATTAACGTAGGGAGTAGATTATTTCTAGATCATTCTGATAAAATACTATAATCATCCAATACTAATAATACTTCTCGCCTTCAAACTGTTGTCAATCCATGACAAATATCACTTATGAAGTAAACTAATCTATACGAAACCTCTTGAATCAAATGATCGATTGATTTCCTTACTTTTCTTTATAGCTATTGATTTATGTCAACCAAATCCATGTCAAAATGGTGGCTATTGTCAGCATACATTACATCCAGGAGATTTTCAATGTCGTTGTGCACCAGGTTGGTCTGGTCGTTGGTGTGAATTTCAAACAGATAATCCATGTAATATGGCTAAAATTTGTTTTAATAATGGTAAATGTCATCAAGATCATTTAAGTCCTGGATTATTTAAATGTGAATGTGATAATCAATGGATTGGATCTGTTTGCCAGTTACGTAAGTTTAGTTAAAAATATTTCTATATTAATATAAAACTTAGTTGATCTATAAATGAGATCATTAACAAATTACAGTCTAATAAATCTGATAAACCTATTTAGTGACCCTATGTCTGACTCCATGTTGATCGTACAAATGATCGTTATTGAAATATACATATCGCCAATGTTATAACTTGTGGCCTGTGTGCCCTGTTAATGTATAACGTAACGATACTGCTAATTAGAGAGCAGTGAATTATCGATCGGATCAATGACGCATAAAACACGTACGAACAGTCTAGAGTCCTTATTGGTCCTGCTTCCCGCCTAGCCCAGCCAGTTAAGTCCAGAACATCAATCTCAGCCTCTGCAATATGAATCCTTTATCTCAAACATACCAACCAGAGAGACCACATCGTACCAATAAAATAGGAAACAACATTTATACTAGACTTCGGGCAAATGTGACTGTGAATGTGGAAGGTAGTAATAAAGAGACTGGGCATAATTCAAGAATGATAAATCGTATAATAATAGTTCATAGGTTAAAATAAAGCTCATAATAACAGGTATATAAATGTGTATAACTTAGTTAGTTAACAATTATACGATAAAAATATGCGCATAGTATTGGTCCATAAATTGATCCCAAAAGTTACCATTTATTATGCTTATCAGGGCATAACAGTCTATCCTCGTATATAATCATGACCTTAAATCGCGTTAGTGAATAACGGAATCAAATAAATCAAATACGAGAATGGATTTTAGAATACATATATTTCGTACAATTATTGATTGAGACAAACGATTGAAGAAACAAAACGAAATGAAGCGAAGAGAAGAGAGCGGAGAGAGATGACGCGCAGTGAAGATGTCATGTGAGCCAATTCGTCTTAGTCAAGCATTAATCGATATTTATAGGCTGAACTAAAATAAGCTACAGACATGTGATGAGTAAGATGAGAAATGCACACATGTTTACATAAAAACAGTCAAGGTTGATAAGCGAATAAGTAACAAGGTCAACATGTAGGTCAAGAAGAATGAATAAATTAGTTTGTCCGGAAGTTAGAATAAGCTGTGTGGGCTTAATATGGCAACCGACACGACACCGATAACAATGATTAGAAGAAATTGACATTGCACTGTAAAACGTTTAAGGGAATTGAGAAATGAATTCATCTATTTGCTTTGTTATATTCTGTTCAGTTTTGGTTTAAACCAAACTTACTATCAAGATGAGAAAACTGAAATGAGATTGAAGAATTTTTGACAAGCCAAGACTATATTAGACACAAATCACCAATACACATATACCGATTGTCATTCCAACTCATGCAGAGATATATGGGCTTAAATATTTAGTGAGTCTAGTCTATCATACTTTTAGCTTATTCGAAAGCTACTTACTTACTTACTCCTGTTACTCCTAATGGAGGATAGGCCGCCGACCAGCATTCTTCAACCCACTCTATCCTCCGCCTTCCTTTCTAGTTCTATCCAACTGTTGGTCATTCTTCTCATGTCTGTCTGTCTCCATTTCTCGGAGTAATGTGTTCTTTGGTTTTCCTCTTCTCCTCCTTTGGCCTTGAGGATTCCAAGTCAGGGCTTGTCTTGTCATGTATTTGGATGCTTTCCTCAATGTGTGTCCTATCCACTTCCAGTGCTTCTTCCTGATTTCTTCCTCCATTGGAATCTGGTTTGTTTTCTCCCCCAGTAGGTTGTTGCTGATGATGTCTGGCCAACTGATCTTGTTAATAAACACCTGTATTATCTGGATGATGGCCGTCGTAGTTCTCTATGATTCTGCCCAATACAGTAAAACTGTTTTGACATTTGTATTGAAAATTCTAACTTTGGTGTTGATTGTCAGTTGTTTTGAGTACTAGATTATCTTCAATTGTAAATATGCTGATTTTGCTTTGGCAATCCGCCGATCGAAAGTTACTCTCCCAAAATTATTGGATTATGATCATGGCAACTAAATTTATTGTTTTACAATGAATGATGTTGATTAAATTTTTAAAAAAAGAGAATAAGAATAAAGATTTAAGTCGAATATGAATTCATTCTAGTTTCATTAGATTTATCTGAACTTCTTACATGTTTGAAATGATCAAAAGAAAAGGGGAATTGTAAATCACTACCGTAATGGTTCTTAACTTAGGGTTATTATGAACATTTAATAAGTTGATGAATCTAGGATCATGATAACCAAGTTAAATGTTTGGATTTATTGTTGTCAATAAATAAATAAGAAGTTATGAAGAACATTATTGGAACGGTGGAGAAAATTTATACCTTAGGTATATGATTTTGATAGTTTTGTTTTCTGAGCTGGATAGTTCGGTTGTAGAGTGAAATGTTCACTTCTATCTGAAGTTTATACTGATGACGTTGTCCAGAAGAACAATGAAAGAACTACGATCCACAAACTTCAATGAATTTCAAAAGACTACAACTTGTATACGAATTATTCTTTTTTAGAAAAAAGATTTTCATGATCTTTACCTTATATTCTGTATCCAATAAATGTCTAGAAATTGCATGATTTAACATCTTTATTCATTTGCAGAAAAGGCCTTTTTTAGAATATATTTCATAGTAAATAAATTTAGTCCGATACTAGAACGAAACAGCCGTTCAAGGTTCCAGGTTTTCCATGATTTCAACTATTAAATACATTGAATTCATGTAATTCTCCTTAAATCTTCATTTATCTAACCTTATTCAAAGTAAATAACTTTAAAATTGTAAATCACTGCATTACAGCTCAATCATCTATAGGTTGAATTCATTTGTGAGATAATGGGTACGAAACAAATGGATAATAATTTGGATGACACTTTGGATCTTCTAGCTTACGCATGATTTCAATAGTTGAGATGATGAGTCAACTGAAGTTAGATCATCATGAAAAACCTGGAAGCACTGAACAACCGTTTCGTCCTATTTTTGGACTCCTCAGCAGTGCGCAGCCACGATCCCACATTGCGAGATTCTATCTCAGGACTTATCAGTCTCACGCGCGAACACTTAACCTCTAGAACACTGGGCCGGCCGGCATCCAACGGTGTTAATGTCTAACTTCAAATAATCCACGAAATTGAAGGAAACATCCACCATTGTCTTCAGTGAGTCACTATCTCACAACTGACCCAGTTGAACTCCAATGGTCACTACTTTGCACTAGAATTCCAGGAAATACCTCTTGAAGCCAGACAGTATAGAGCATATGTTGATTAATATCAGAAAGGGTTTTTATGGATATTATGGTAACATTGTAATGAACAAGAACACGAGTGGGGACAAACGGATGTATTTAGCACAACAATTACAGTCTATTTCAACAATATCTGAATACCATATATTAAATCATCAATTTGCAAAATATTCACGCATCAAACCAAATTGGATTGTTTCTGTTGCAAACACCAATCCATTGTCTCCCATTCCATTGTTCATAGGTTTTCTTACAAATTCCGTTACGTTCTCGCTCCACCTTTCTTGATCTTCGCCATCTTTTGCTGCCAGACATTACGTTCTTCTAACGCACGTTATATACTACTTATATCAATATAAGTAGCTCACACCACAACATCAATAGTTGAGATCATGATTGATTAAACCTGTTATTGCAGAGAAATAGTTTGAAATAAGTCGAGACTGATTGACACAATAAAAAGTTTTATTACGTAATCCAGCTTTCAAACATTCAATTCTTTTATTTATTCATTTCCAAATTTAGGTCGACCAGAAACAAGATCATGTGTACAAAAAAATCTATGCAAAAATGGTGCTACATGTGTTGATTTAGGTAACAGTTTCAATTGTATCTGTCGTCCTGGTTTCGATGGTCAATATTGTGAAAATGAAATTAATGAATGTAATTCAATGCCATGGTGAGTTCACTTAATATACGCAACTTTGTTCAATTTAGTTGGAATAAAAAATATTGTCTTAATGTACATACTTACACCTGTTATCTCTCGTGGAGGAGCATAGGCCATCCACCAGGATTTTCCATACAACTCTGACCTGAACAATCATTTCCAGTTGTTGAACTAGCTGGAATTTGAAACATGAACAACTTAGATTTCAACCCAACAGTATAAATGACACGCACTCATCTAGAAGTTAAAAGTTTCTAAATTTAATCCCTGACGGAGTCGTGAACATCTATTACTAGAGAGCATACTGAGACAAAAGACTCAGCTACTATTTACTAGTCTTCAATGATTCTCCAACTGTGAACAGTTCGTGATGAGAAGTATCTTTAGAAATAATTTCGTAATTAATATCAGTAGGGGTTTTGTGGATATTATAGTAATTTGATTGTTGAATTCATGAGTCCATTGAAGCTAGACCATCATGGAAAACATGAAAGCACTGAAGATCCATTTGATCCTATTGTGGGACTTATCAGCAGTGCGCAGCCATGATCTCGCCTAACGAGATTCGAACCAAGGACCTATCGGTCTCGCGCAAGAGCGCTTAACGTGTAGAACACTGAGGCGGCATCTAACGGTCTTTTGTGAGATTGTAATTCTCTAAAGACAATTGTGGACGGTGGCACAACTTCATGGGTTAGCTGAAGTAAGATGATGGCCGGCTCAGTGGTCTAGAGGTTAGGTACTCGCGTGTGAGACCTATAGGTCCTCGGCTGGAATCTCGCGATGCGGGATCGTAGGTCCACATTGCTGAGAATTCCCACAGTAGGATGAAACGGTCAACCAGCTCTCTCAGGTTTTTTATGGTGGTCTAGCTTCAACTGGCTCACGATGTCAACTATTAAATCTCGTAATTATTATTTTGTCTATTTACTCATCTATTTTTATTTTTTAGTTATAATAATGGAACATGTAAAGATCTTATTAATTCTTTCGAATGTGATTGCCCTAAAGGTTTTATTGGAACAGATTGTAGAATAAGTAAGTTTGACATAATGAGGATATTAATGATTACAATACGATTTTCCAGTGAAATAACTATCTCTATTCATGTGATAATCGTTTCGAGATTTTCATGCTCTTCTCTACTTATTATTCAATGAATAAGATCCATTTTTATGTTTATTGATTTTTCTTTCTAATCCTGAATGTTCTAGTTGATGTCTTTTTAACAAGGTCCCTTTATTTTTTTTACCGGGTAAGGTTGTCAACTACATGTCCAACACTCCTACTTTATCGGTACAGGGGTTGTGGAGATTATTAAGTTTTTGATTGAGATCATAAACCGATTGATGTTAGACCACCGTTGAACACCTGGAAGCACTGGACGGCCTTCTCGTCCTATTGTGGGGCCCAGCAGTGTGCATCCACGATCCCGCTCGCGGGATTCGAAACCAGAACCTTTAGTCCCGTGCTCGAACACTTAACCTACAGAACAACTGAGCCGGTATCCAACTCCTACTTCATCCAAAATTGTAATTGGTAGTAACTTTAGAAAGGGTTAAAGTAGATACTATTATCTTTGACTGTGATATTTATCATGTTAATTTCATTTCTATATATAAATGTGTATCAGGTTCCATCATAGTTATAAACAACTTGGGTGAGGCTACAATTTATGGACGACCTTTGAACGACGCTTATGTGACCTTTATAGTGTCCACCTAACAATCAGGACCAAATGAGGGTTATAAACTAGCGTGAGGAATTCGAGTGATGATTTACAGTTGAGGGTAAGGGTTAGGAATTATATTTATGGTTTTTATCACGAATTGACATCAGCTATAATGCCAAAACTCTATTTAGACTAATGGAAGAGTGAATTTCGCGCCAAAATCTGAGGTCTGCTACCTTAAATCTGATTGGTTCGTCCATAACTTATAGTCTCGTCATCTACTTGTTGACACATTATTACAAACACTGCACTTGACGAACTGGTAAAATTTTCTAAACTGACTGAAGTAGTAGACAGTCAAGTGATTTTATAGTTTTTAAGGCAATGAATTAAAAATGAAATATGTTTGTCAGTCCTAACAGAGAAGTCTGTTCAATGCATCATCTTCTTCAACAAATGAGCATCAATTAGACTGATAGTCTGTCAAGATAGGTTGAGGAATTCTAGTTCACAAATTCATTTTTTCCAATGTTATATTTGGTTTATTGCAAATGGTCAGGCTGTAAAAAGTATCTTCTCCGTTGAACTATTCGAGCGTTTTCCTCTTTTATAGAACTTGAAATTTTATGGTTTCAAGTCAAATCATCATTAATTACCCTTAGTGAATAGAATTAAAGTTGGTTGAATGGAAACTTATTACTTTGATCATATAACTGGAATTAGATCAATATTTAATGCTTTACTAGTACGAATTTTACCCTCTTGTCAATTATCATGTGACAAGATCGCCAATCACAACACCAACGTATACGACCTTGGCACTGTGCCATACTAATGACACATCAACCTGTACTACCAGCCTTGAGTCAACTCTGAATCCTTATTAGTCTTTCACGTCTAGCCTAACCCGTTTGAGTCGAGAAAACATTCTCAGTCTCCACTGTATAAATTATATATTTCAGACATATGTTGTTTATATACAAGCAAACCAGACAGCATCACATCGTAAAATAAAAAAGGTAATAATTATACAAGATCAAGCTAAAACTGGCTGTGGGTACAGGAGACTGTAAATTAAGAATAAATTAAGAATGGTAACTCGTATAACAGTAGCCATTAGGTCAAATGAAAGCTTATGATATAAGGAATGAAAAAATATTTTAATGAAGTTTTGTTCTTTGAACTGGATGGTTTGATTGTGAAGCTTTCATTGTTCTTCTGAACGACATCGTCAGCACAAACTTCAGGTAGAAGTGAAGTGAATGAGCATATTGCTTGAAAGTTAGTATATGCTCGTTTATTTTTAACTCTTTTTTCACATTTATTTATAGATGTTAATGAATGTGCTTCATATCCATGTTCATTTGGATCAACTTGTATTGATCGTGTTGGAACATATGAATGTATTTGTCCAGAACAACGATATGGTCGACATTGTGAAGAAGTGATCATTGAAACAGAACCAAAACCTCCAGCATGTAATTTTTATGGTCGAATTTATGATCATAATGACAATTGGACTTATAGTTGTCAACGATGTCATTGTAATAAAGGACAAATTATATGTACTGATGTAAGTATATATTACTACTTTTACTTTTACTTACGTGTGTTACTCCTCGTGAAGGAGCATAGGCCGCTCACCAGCATTCTCCATCCAACTCTGTCCTGGGCAATCCTTTCCAGCTCCTTCCAGTTCTTATTCATCCCTTTCATATCTGCTTATATTTCTCGACGTAATGTGTTATTTGGCCTTCCTCTAGTACTACTACTAAATAATAATTTTGTATTCACAAGTTGATATTTGCTGAGTAAACTGAAGCCATATTTTATTGTGGGAATGCTACGTTTGAAGAGATTATGAGCTCACCTAGTCTGAGAACAGAAAAAAAAGCTCTATGACTAAAGACCAATAAGCTAGCTATTCTGACGCATCCCAGTCCCGCTAACTAGAGAGAGATGTTCTAGTTCGAAATGGGGAAATATATTCCACAAGCAGCCAGAAGCATAAGCAATAACAACAGGCATAAATCAAATATATATATATATATATATATATATATATATATATATATATATATATATATACAGCATAAAATTGTCTTTGTGAAGCGTTACAAAATAGCATACTAAAAGATACAACGAACCAAAAGCGTTTAAAATTCTCCCAAGTGGGAAATACAACATGAAGGTGAAAATGAGCGCTTTTGGTGCGAAAACAAGAAATTCAAATTAATAAAAAATTACAAAAATATGGTGTTTACGAAGTGAGTTCTGATATCCCCTCCAACAGCAAATGAATGAAAATCTAGATGAGGATAGTGAATTTATTCCATTTGAATGGAGATTTTCATTTAAAAATTCAGAAAAAAACCCAGATGAATCGATAAGAGAAATATTTTGATGGAGTTTTGTTCTCTGAACTGGATAGTTTGGTCGTGGAGATTTCATCATCATTTTGTACGACATAATCAGCACAAACTTCAGGTTTACTTCTACCTACTTCTCCACGATCAAATCATCCAGCTTAGAAAACGAAACTCCATCAGAATTATACATCTGAGCTACAAATCTTCTCTACTATCTCATAAGAGAAACATGTTTATTCAAATAGCTTGTCATTATGACTAGAGGGAACAATTTTGTGTAAGCAACATTAGATCTAACTTTCGCTCTATTTTACATTCATTGATCGGTGCGAAACAATCTTAAACATGATCGTATTCAATGATGCTATGACTGATCAATTTAAAGAGCAACTGGTAATCTGATATATTTAAACTAATTAATCACTGAGTATTAAAGAATGTGATATTCATCTACTCCATATTATTGATTGGATTCTTCGCACTAAGATAAAATCAGTCTTGTTGGGACACCTCAAGAAAGTCATCAGCAGTTGAGACAAGTATGAAAATAATTCATGCAACCAGTTTGTAATAAGAGCTTCATAGAGAGCTCTAGAAAAACGATGGATTGTGTAATATATTGACTGAATAACTACTAGCTTTTGATACTAAATTTAATTTGTTCCATTAAAGCCTTCATAATATCAACAGCATTCATAAATCTACAAAGTTCGTTTCTCATTGTAAAAAGTAATGAAGTTTCTTTCTCTACCCCTCAGAGTTTTTGTTCCTTTCAGAGTATAGAAATTTTTCTTTAGAACTAGAATAAGGCTAAACATTCAGTTTCAGTCGATTAGGGAACCGAACTTATCAAGTTCCCTTTAGTTTGCAGATACACCATATTGATAACTCAGAAAGAGGCTTTGTGGATATTATAGTAGTTTAATTGTTTGATTCATGAATCAATTGAAGCTAGACCATCATGGAAAACCTGGAAGCACTGAACAATCTTTTAGTCCTACTGTGGAACTTCTCAGCAGTGTGCAGCCATGATCTCGCCTCACAAAGTTCAAACCAAGGACATGTCAGTCCCGCACGCGAACGCTTAACCTCTAGATCACTGAGTCAGTCAGCATCCAATGCTGTTAATGCCTAACTTCAACTAATCCACGGAATTAAGTGACACATCTACCACTGTCATCAGTGAATTACTATCTCACAACTAACCCAGTTGAACACCACTGATCACTACTTCTCACTAGAACTCCAAGAAATACCTCTTGGAAACTATCACTAATGAGCATATAATGATTATAATCACACAGTGTAGTTATTTATTTATTTATTTGAACACATAGAATTTGGTACAAGGGGGCACCAGATACTTACGCGCCACACAAATCTCAGATTTGTGTGAGGGCTGTGATACTGCTCGGGTCTCCAGACCGAAGCAGGTGAGTTTTATTTACGGGCTCACATCCGGAGCCTTGGACCTAAAGGTCTGACCCACAAGGCAGTGGATTAATGTTAGGAGATGCAGTCCCATGGTAGCCGGTGACCAACGATAGGTTCATACGCTATTTGTTCCTGCAGGATACTGGAGTCCATGTGCACCATTGGTTTGTGGTCCGGTTAAAGTGCCGGACATTCGCTTTTCGTCCTCTCATTTTCGTAAACAACACCCCCGCCATGAGAAGTCAGTGAGTAGAACTTCCCTGGCAGAGGCAATATACGCATGGTCATGTGAGAGTATTTGGAGAGGGCGAGCGGGCCCATCCCACTTTCGGCCATACCAGGGCATTTGAGAGCAAGGTATATTAATAACTTCCAACTAGTATAGAATCCAAAATTAAATAAAACTTTATTTAAATTGTTTCATATTACTTCATTTCTACACTTTAGGATTTTTGTGGATATTGGTCATGTTTACAAATTATTGGACGAAATGATCGTTTTGCTTGTAAAAATGGTGAAATATGTCATATTATCTCATCAAATGGTTTAAATAATAATGATTGTTTTGTACCACCATGTTATTTACGTACAATTTGTTTAAATGCTAGTCAATCAATACAAGAACAATTAAAACAATTATTACCTAATTATTATTTTAAACAATCATTACCTGGTTGTCGACCAAATAGTTTTATATTAAATAATCATTGTGCTAGATTATTATTACATTTTTCTAAATTACGTATGTCTTATTCAACAACTATTGATGATATATGTAATGCTGTAAAAAATTTACCATCATTAAAAAAATATCATCAATATAGTAGTGGTGATGATGATGATGGGGGTCGTGGAAAATTGGATATTGGTATAAGTTGTGATATAAAAGCTGGTTATTCTATAGAACAACAAAATATAATAGAAGTAAGTTTAATTTTATTGGTATTTTATGTGAAATAAGTATTATTGGCTCCCAAATGCCCTGGTACGGCCGAGAGTGGGATGGGCCCGCTCTCCCACTCCAAATACTCTCACATAGACACGTGTATTTAGCCTCTGCCAGGGAAGTCCTACTCACTGCCTTCTTGTGGCAGGGGTGTTGTTTACGACAATGAGAGGACGAAAAGTGAATGTCTGGCGCTTTAACCGGACCACAAACCAATGGTGCACATGGGCTCCAGTATCCTGCGGGAACAAATAGAGTATAAACCTATCGTCGGTCACCGGCTACCATGGGACTGCATCTTCTAACGTTACTCCACTGCCTTGTGGATCAGACCTTCAGGTCGAAGGCTCGGGGTGTGGCCCCCTAAGAAAACCACCTGCTTCGGTTTGGGCACCCGGGCAGTATCACAGCCCTCACACACATATCGAATGAGATTTGTGTGGCGCATATGTATTTGGTGCCTGATTGTACCAATATCTATGTGTTAAAATAAAATAAATAAATAAGTTATTGAAGATCATTTATCTTTATAGGTATGCACCTCATAAGGCACTTACTTTGTGTGTAGGTTGTGATACTGCCCGGGTTCTCAAACTAAAATAAGTGATTCTCTTAGGAGGCCACATTTGGAGCCCTCGACCTAAACGTCTGAATCACAAGGCAGTGGAGCAACGTCAGGAAATACAGTCCCATAGTAGCCGTTGACCAATGATTGATTCATACGTCATTTGTTCCTTCAAGATATTGGAGCCTATATGCATCATTAGTTTGGAATCAGGGTTTCTCAATACCCCTTGGTGGATCCTCCATATACACCAACATCGGTGCGGTTAAAGCTTTTTTTTCTCTCAGTTTCGTAAACAACAAAAAAACCGCAAGTAGGCAGTGAGTAGGACCCCCCTAAAAGTGGTTGTATGCACGTGGTCACATGAAAGCATTTCGAGAGGGAAAGCTGACACTTCCCACTTCTAGTCGTACCAAAGCATTCGGGAGCATCTTTTAATTATATAACCTTAACTTTATTTTTTTATTCTTAAAAATGAAAGCATCATTAAAAACAATGGAGGATTGAATATCTTTGGAAATCCTCGACAACACGTACATACATAATGATTCTAGGTGGAATTAAGCCTAGGAGTGTCAATTCTCTTAGTGTAAGCATCATATATTTAGATCATAGACTTAAATTCAATAATTGATACACAGAGTGATTACTACTCAATATTATCCATAATATCTGCCCTAATTGTTCCCACAAGTGGGGACAACCAAATGTATATAAACACAATCTTACAGAATATGTCGGTAAATTAATTTATTTGAAAAATGCTAATCAATCGTGTCAGATTTCATTGTTCATTCATTTCCACACCACTCACTTTCTATTCTCGTTCTCTTCTCTTCGATCTTCTTAACTTTCTGGTATAAGGCACTTCACTTTCGATTGATGATACATACTACTTATATCTATCGACATCAGTAGAACATACTGCATATTACATCGGTGATTTAGATAACGACAAGTTTTGTTGAAATGTTATGCATCACAAAACCGTAATTTCACTTGGCGTTGATTACTGACATCAACAGTATTTTGTCTGCTTGGTTTGACAGAATGAATATTATAATTTATTGAGGTTTCTCCTCCTCTAGCTTCTATCCTTGTAGTGACATGCTTTAGATTTACCAGGTGTTGACACTCTGTAGTAATCATTTGTAATGTCATTTCCATTATCTTCAACGCAGGATAGTAATCGTGTTCACACTTCAACATCTGTGGGTAATTGTAGTCTAAAAAACAAATGACGAACATATAAATTGATCAATTAATAATCTATTTAATTGAAAGCGATCAGCTTGTAGAATAATCATGCTTGCGTATGTGAGATAAACTTCATCAACTTCCTTGGTTAACTGGAGGCATTTGTGACGAATATGAAATAACGACGCTTGTTCAAAATATCATCGGTTTCATCAAAACTTCTTTGTGTGATTTGACAGGATATCATTTTTTTATATTTGTAGTATTCTTGTGGGTCCAGTTTTTGTGTCAACAGTCTTACCTTTGAACCAGGCCAGTTGATACGGACAGTAATGTAAATAAACTACACTGTCTCAAAGAAATAAATATTACATGAACCTACTCTAATTATGAGCTACCACAGAATTGTATTCCCTGATGCGATTGTGTTGTCTAACGGACAGAAATTTGATGTTAAAAGTTCGAGAGATAGTCAGTGGTAGGAAAACTGTTGATTTCGGTTTGAATACAGTTCAGCGAACAAAATGATCAATTTTTGTAAACACTATCGACACAAATTATGGATCAATATATTATCTAATACATTTCATGTTTATTCTTTTCCCATTACTTAAAAAAGGTAACACTTAGTTCATTGAATGATCAAGTTCGAATTGGTCCAGATGGTAGAGAATATTCATTTATTCATGAATTAGCTAGAAATTTATCTAAAGAAGCTTATTTAGCTGCATCAACTAATTTAAAATTACGTAAAGACAATTTGAAACTATTCAATAGTAGAAGTGACAGCAATTATGAGTTTGCCAATAATGACAGTAATCATGATAATGATGATGAAGGTATACCATTACCACCGATGTCTATGATTTTAGGCACTGATCAATTAGATGATTATTGGCATAGAGTATTGCTTGGTATAATTGAAATTCAAGTTGATACAATGGTTGTAAATGAAAATGATTTTGGTAAGTGTAGATATTATTAAATAGTATTTCAATTCTATAACTCTGAATTCATTTGTTCTGCATGATTGTGATGCATATCAGTTATCTGTTTACTTATTATTGTGATAGTTTACTATGTACTACATTATGACTGTGAAATATTCTCTTTTTGAAGGTGAACAATACGAAGAAGTTATAAGGTTTTTGAATATAGGTATCTTTGAATAATCACACCCAGAATAGTGAAAACACAGGTTTGAGGTTAAGTTTATGGTACGAGGCAAATTGGATCGGAATTTACATCGAATTCGGGGCATATAGTACATAATATAGGTTTATTGAGTTTTATAAAATAACGGGACAAAACAAAAACGGCAGCGATTCATTACATGGATTTATTCTTACATCAACACGACATATCTGTTCATAAAAGAATATGATTATCGGTACGAATCAATCGTACTTGAAGAAAAGTTTCAATCGCGATATTTTTATATCGTCAGCCAGTGATCTTGAAAGCTGTTAGAGGTAGGAGGTTAGTTATCACTTCCTGGTTGCCCACACTGTGTAAAGATTCTTCTAGAGATACCTGAAAAAGAAATTAAGTTAAAACTGGTCTTAGTGACCTGAGAGCGTGACTGCAGTGCTCAATGGATAACTGCCTAAGGTCGTTCACACACATTTTTGTGTTATCTCCGTACTTGTTGGGACTTTACCGCCGGAGACGGATATCCGTGGGATAAGGCGAGGTGTGCATTTTTAGGGTCAACCTTTTCTAACCCCACCCTTCCTTTGTGGGAAGGCAACATCGCTGTTATGCTGGTTGTCTGAGGAAAACACCTCAGTGACATCACACCTCTGTACAGTCAGCAGTACGATTTCGCCGTCAGACCTTGGGTTTGTTACTTTTAGTCTTACCGTTCTTCAACCGACCTGTCTGGCATGGTAGAACCTTGAGAAACGATTGTTCCAGCCAGTATAGCTCGACCACCACATTAAGATAGTAACAACGGTCAAGATTTTTATATTGTATTTCATTAATATGTTCTCAGATATAGTAGATCAATTCAGTGTTCAGTGATAGTTTCATAAACTAATAATATTTAAGATCACAAATGATTACATATTCCTCTCTCTCTCTCTCTCGTGTTTTATTTCAGGTCCACGTTTATTAGTTCCAATAATATGTGCTACAATCTTAATTATTGCATCAATATGTATCTTTATAATATGTTGTTATTCTCAAAGAAAACGTCGTGAACTACTTATGAAATATACAACAACAATAGCGCCTAATAATGAACAATCATCAAATTTAATACAAAATATATCAGAAAGTAATAATACAACAAATCATCATCATCATCATCATTTCAAGAATATCACACATCCAATCAATATAACATCGACTAATCAAAACTATACTTCATATCATCCATCACAATTATTATGTGAATCATCATTACAAACAAGAAGATTTCTATCACCAGAATTTCATGGAAGACGACTATTAGTTCATAATGATAATAATAATGGTAGTAATAAGAAGAATATTAATAGTCATATTCCACCAGGAATTTGTACAATCAATACAAATCGTGTAAATATGAATAAATCCAGTGGAACAGTTGTGATTTAAGTGTTACGTATATACATGAAGTTACTAAGAAGATTGAAGATAGGCTCAATGAGAGATTGAAGATTTCTTAACCGGGTTCAAATGAAAATTACATCATAAACTCTTAGTATTGATTTATAATGCATCATTGTACAGATTATTTTAAAGAGTGAACCGTTTCTTTTTTTTGGTGAATCCTCTAATAAATGCTCTTTGTAGTAAAAAAGATAATTAATCAAATATGATGTAGGACATGGCATCAATGTAATTTATTTACGTCTATTACTCCTCATGGAGAAACATAGGCTGCCTACCAGCACTCTTCATCTAAACCTGTCATGGGCAATCTATTCCAGCTTTTTCCAGTTGTTATTCATCCTTTTCATATCTGCTTATATTTCTCGACGTAATGTGTTCTATGGCCTTCCACTTTTCCGCTTCCTTTAACGATTTTAAGTTAGGGATGGCCTCGTGATGCAGTTTGGTAATTTCCGTAATGTTTGTCCTATCCACTTCTAATATTTTTTTAAAATTTTCTCTTCGGTTGGAAGCTGATTTGTTTTCTCTTACAGAAGGGTGTTGTTAATGGTATCCAGCCAATGGATGTTGAGTATCTTGCGTAGACAACTATTCATAAATACTTGTACTGTTTTGATGATGGTTGTAATAGTTCTCCAAGTTTCAGCTCCGTACAGTAGGACTGCCTTGACATTCATATTGAAGATTCTGACTTTGATATTGATTGAAAGTTATTTTGAGTACCATATGTTCTTCAATTGTAGGAATGCGACCCTTGCTTTGCCAATCCCCACCGTTACGTCTGAACTAGATCCTCGTTGTCCATCGATGATGCTTCCTAGGTACGTGAAGGATTTCACATCTTTCAAAGTTTCGCCATTAAGTGTGATTGGGTTGATGTTCTCCATGTTTTATTTGAGGGCCTTGGTTTTCCCTTTGTGTATGTTGAGACCTCATGATGCAGAGGCTACTGCTACACTATTTGTGTTCATCTGCATATGATGGCATCAAAGGATGTTGATTTAATTTGCTACAAACTACAGCGTAAAAAATGATGAAATAAATAAAATATGTAAAGTAGGAGTTAATGGTGATCTATGATGGTAGAAAAAGATATCACAGAGAATATAATTGAATTCTGGACACTTACCACTTACGTCTGTTACTCTTAATGGAGCACAGTCCCTTGACCAGCATTCTCCAACCCATTCTGCCCAGAGCCTTTATTTCTAGTTCCATCCAATTGTTGTTCATTCTTCTCATGTTTGTCTGTTTCCGTTTATCGGTGTAATGTGTTTTTTGGTCTTCCTCTTTTCCTTTGGCCTTGAGAACTGCAAGTGAGTTCTTGCCTACGAGCCCCTCTGGGGCTACTGCCGGTCCCAAGCCCGGATAAAGGAGGTTTGGCGACCCCATCCCGTAGAAAACTAACTTGCTAAAAAAAACGCTGACCAGAATTCTGGATACAAGCAATATGTAATAGTATTGAAACTTAGTATAAAGGAGAATGTGTGTACCCAGGTTATTGGTCGATTTTGATACGCAAGATATTCAGTCATCGTGAACTCCAACTAGGTAGTGTAAAATTACTTGAATGATTGAGATAACCAGTTAGTGGTATCACAGACTGACACCATATCTTGGTTTGGGTACCCTTTACGACTGCATCATATGGACGTAAATGAAATAAACATATTATTTGGTACCCACTTCATTTTCAACTGTGTTATACGGCTTGAATGTATTATCCCGGATGTTTAAGTTAGAATTATTGTATTACCCTCTCATTAGTTTCAGAATAACTGGTTAGACATACTTATATTGTGGTTAATTAATCGATAATGTAACCCTATTTTGCTTGATAATTCAGAATTTATATAAGCGATATAGAAGTTGACGAATTTACAAATCTGATATTCGAAGACAATTAGTAGCGTCTAAAGAAAATAATGAAATAGCTTAGGTGGATGGATCCAGTTAGTGGAACTTTTGATTATCATGAATCTCTTATGAGATAACTGGATTGACCATTTCATGTATTAAACTACCCAGCGAATACCCATCCTACAAAGCAGCCGATTGAAAGTATATGTATGTGTCGATAGTTAGATAAACTTACGAAAAGACATCGGTCAGCTTGGCGAAAACATTAATGGAAAACTGATGTCATAAGACAGTAGACTGTGATAGACCTATGAAATAGATACTTAGCTTTGTTAAACGTTGAAAAACGAATAATATTGTGAATTTCTTTCTATTGCCGATTTCTACTTATTGTTTCATTAACCGGAGACAGTTTGTAACGCGTTATCGTAAACATATAACCTGGTTCTCTATTGTCAGTCGGATATTGTATTTATGTATATCACTCTATCCAGTTCGGCGATTGTATAATCTCATGTCCAGATTGTATTCCGTTAACGTATCGCTACAAACGACAAATAACTTTCATTTCGTTATCATAATAAAAGCAAATGTTCTAAACTTCTAACAAACTGGGGTAGTGTTAAAAAATCAGTTATATGATTCGGACTGCTGGTGTTTTAATGTGTAGTACATAATGAACTGAAATAAATAAATAGAAACAAATTTTTATAGTCAACACAAAACAGTTTATTATCAAATCCATTTGGTTACTTAAAACCGACTTTAATTTACAATCTTAGGAAACGTTAGATATAATGAATCGGTAAACAACACTATATTCACAAACTAATTGTCCTCAATGGGACCCAGCATTGGAGATTGAAGCAAAAGAGAAACCTGATCCATACTCTCTGCAAGGGGGCTAGACGAAATTTTACCGAGAATGCCATGTATATCGAAATTGATAAATTGCAGCAAATTTTTATGAATAATGAATATCCATATTGGGACTTACTCCGAAAAGCACAAGTCTCTGGAGACTAACGAACCGTAGAGATTCCATCCAATGAAAACCCGTTATAGCTGTCTAGAAAATCGATGTGGCATCCTACGATTAGACAATAGCATAAATTGCCTCCTTGGGGATCGATCGAATTATAATGATGTCGTAGCCAACGACAATAACCATAAGTACCCGTTTTTTGTACCTTATTTATTCATACCCTGTCATCACTTCCCCTGCTTCTTACATCTGATTTCACCACTGTGGGGTTCCACACGTCCGAGTGCCGTTAATTGCATATCGTATCCTGCCGCAATCAAGTAGAATACATAACAATCTAGATTTACTGAGAAAAATCTGAAGCCAAAACAACAAGATGAGACAGTGTCCATAGCACCAAAGAGGACTCTTTCCTTATGGAAACTAAATTTAAACGAGCTACTACAGTAGCACTCTGAAAGATTTTCGAGATCACTGAGAAAAAGTTTCTAATCGCTTAAGCTTTGTATTATCTTTACCAGTCAGTCCATGATTTGTAATTGTGTGGAGGACAATCTCCCGCTTTGGGTTTGATCAATCCGCCCTTTCGGAAAGCATCTCTGGACATTAACCTACATAGATTTCTAAAGGATTGAGGAAGTCTGTCAAAAGCCTAATCATGAAACACCTATTCAATACTAGTCACTCAGCTTCACCAGAATCCCCCTTTAAATTATTATGGTAAGAAAAGTAGGCTCAAGAGGACTGCAAATGAAAAAAACTTATGTACAGAAGAGACTATTACTATCCATTTATTCAAGCCTACTCTTTGTTTACGTAGACAATATATTCAGTCCTTCATTCTTCCATAGCCGTAAACTTCCTTTCCCAATCTTTCGTAATCTTTGATTTTTCTGTGAAAAATTATTATTTCTACTCTTTTTTCAATTATATTTACAACTATCAATTGACCATCATTAGAACATTCAATTATTCGGTTCTTAATAGCTTTCAAGTGGACCAATTGTCTTTATCTTTGTAGTTTCTCACAAACCCATTATTAAATAAATTCCCTTCAATATCTTATTTTCGTAAACAGTTTATGATAACATAACACTTTAAGAATGTTCAATTGTTCAACATCATCCTTTTTTTACTACTTTAGCAAGTGATTTATTTATTTAAACACGTAAACATTGGTAGAAGGATGCACCAAATACATATGCGCCACACAAATCTCATTTGATATATGTGACGACTGGAATACTGTCCGGGTGCCCAAAACGAAGCAGGTGGTCTTCTTAGGGGGCCACATCCGGAGCCTTCGACCTAAAGGTATGACCCACAAAGCAGTGGAACAACATAAGGAGATGCAGTCCCATGGTAGTCGGTGACCAACAATTGGTTTATACACTACTTGTTCCTTCAGGGTACTGGTGCCCGTGTGCACCATCGGTTTGAAATCAGGATTTTCCAACTCCCCAAGGTGAATCCTCCGTATTCACCAACCCTCTTTCCGTTCTCTCAATTTTGTAAACAACACCCCGGCCTCGAGAAGGCAGTGAGTAGGAATTCCCTGGCAGTGGCTGTATATACGTGATCATGTCAGAACATTTCGAGAGGGAGAGCTGACTCTCCCAACTCTCAGTTGTACCAGGGCATTTGGAGGCAAGTGAAATTAACGACAAATATAATTGTAAGCCTTCGGTAAATTAAATCGTCAAGAAAATTCTCTACGCTGAATTATGTTCATTCTTTTTCAATGAGACATTAGGTCTCATTCATTTAGTGACAGTCTTTAATATATAACAGAATGATTTTCAGCAAAGAAATTATTTCCCAACCCTAAGAATCATTATATTTGTGTTTTTTATCCGATAAGTTGGCTGTACTACACTGACATGTTCATAATAAACAGTTATGGATAACTCCAAACAACCGAAATGAAATCATTTGATGAAGAAATTACATTCCAATATCCAGAACTGATCTAATAAAGGAATAGAGAAGTTGAATGTGTTATACAAAACATAATTACTTGTTAAACATGAACAACGTTTTGGATAACCTTAGACAATAATTTTACTCATCATCCACGATAACTGATCCCTGAAAAACAATTTCATTTTAATATTTTGTAATCAACTATACACATTAGATTAGGATGCTTGGTACCTGTGTGGTTGTGCCATAGGATTGAACTGTACTATTCAGATTGTAGCGTCAAAGCCTATATGGTATATAACCCACAAGAGTATATTATATAACTTATATATGAGAAGAGAAAGGACTAAATGCCATATGAATTCATAGAATTTAACCAAAAGTATTGTGTCATCAACTTTGAAAAGGCTGTATGATACAGACAATCTTGAGGAAGCCAAACAAGCTTACAGTAACAAATATGAAATTTTATGCAAAAGTAAAAAAAATTGTCCATAAGTAGTTTTATAACTTCAATCACCTAACAACAAAACAATCCGAACTCCCAACGTTTTAGCTGGATGAGAAACCCTCCCCCATCATCATCATCATTTACTCCTCTTATAAACCATTGAAAATATTTTGCGGTAAAACAAACATTACGAATCAAGAAAAAAATTCTATACAAAGGGGGCAAACAATTAGGTTATTGTTTTTTTTCTTCATGAATAAAACAAAAAAGAAACATACAAAAAGTGTTTGTGAGTGTGTGTGTGTGTGTCTGTTTGAATGAAATTGAAAACAAATAATCTGAACCAATGAATAGATAGGCATATCATCCAATAACTATGAATAAGGATCTGACATTTTTTCTAAATATTGTACTAAAGTAGTAACACTTGGATAATATTTTTGTTCTGTTATCCAAGGTAGTTTTGTGTAATGTGTATCGCTGTATTGAACATCAAAAGAGAAGAGAAGAGAAAAAAAGGAATGAAGAAATTAGACATGATGATAATAATTTGTGATAGATAAATACAAGATGATTAATAGAGAAATATTAAACCCTTTAAAACAAGTATTGTATGTTTGGTATAGAGTTGACTGAAATCTAAAAATCTACCTTTGTAATAGTCGAGTAGGTTGGAAGAAAGCTAAGGGTAGCCAGATCAAAACATGGCAGAAATCCATGAAGTCACTGACAAGTAGACTGAGCCATGTTGGTAGGTGTAAACTACCTGGTTGAAATCCGTGAGACGATAACAACCGAGGGTTAGAGATTTTGAATGACATGGTTCGAAATCTCTTGCAATGGCACGGGTGCATCCACTCTTTATGTTCTCCCGAATTCTAATGTTCTGAATTTTTCATGTCCCTTTCATTTTTCTCTTTCCAAATTTATTTCATTGGATTATACTCCTTGAATAAAATGTTCAAACCTTAATGTCTCCGATTACTGCTTATACTCTTACTACCTCTACCATTATGGGATTTGAATCGATAATTATATCTGTGTGGTAATGTGGTATGGCAACTCGAATGGATGTACGTACGTACGAAGCTCTACGTTCTTACTGACTGACTGCAATATTCGAAACCCAAGACAGTGAACGAATTCGGATGTTAAAGAAGCTCTGCTAGTAGGTTTAGTGTTTTTATAGAGATCAGAAGCATCTATAAAAATGATAGAAGATATTCAGTTTTAGCTTGAGTATTTATTCAGTTAATCTAGAAATAATCATAAACTGAGGAGGAGGAAGGACTTAATATTACAAAGCAAGTGATTTCCTTTGACGACACTAAGAGAGCTTTTGACAAAAACGTTCAATACAAAAAGAAAAACAATGAAGCAACCACAGGAGATTCAATCTTGTGGTATCTGGTAACCAAAAAACAAAAGATTCGTACATTTGTTTCTTCAAAATGTCGAAACTCATATGAACCTTTAGTTTCAAACCAGTTTCTTACAAATCCCACAGGTGAACTCTCCGTAGCCACCAACCCAGTTTATCTCTGCAAAGTAGTAAGACTTCCATTGATGATGCTATAAATGAGCGGCTAAATACAACCCATTTTATTTGAAGAGTGGAGACTCTTTCCATCATCAATCGAATCAAAGTTTTCTAGAACACAGTCTAAAAGCACTTATTTAGTAAAATATTTAGGAGTTCCAATACTTCAAAACCAAGAAACCTATTTACGTTTCTTGTTTTTCTGTCACACTTCAAGTGTGAACAACAACGATAAATACCTGGTCAATCAAACATATTCGACATAATTATCGAAAAACCACTATCGGAGCAGTACGTAAATGAAACAATTTAGATCATTAAGGTATGCAACTTTCAACCACTTGGTCGACAGTTCAAACCCATGAAAATAGAGTGGTTCAAAGACCCGGACTATACAAATTGGTACTTTGTAATTACGCTGAGTTATATTACTGCGAAAAGTACTCAAAACAGTGTACTCACGTGAATGACAAGTGTTCACTTTCTGGTAAATCGAAAGTGGATTCAGATTTCACTCGGTTAAAGTAATACACCTTTCCAGTACTCCTACTAATCTCTTCAGTCCAATTATCTGTAAGCAAACAAAAACAAATAGAAATGTGAAGTTTCATTAATTACTGAACAACAACTAAACAAAACATGATGATATTACTTAGATCATGTAAAAAGTCACTTCATATAAAGCATATAACGATTCTTGGTTCAAAATAATACAAAATCCTTTATAAATACTTTAGAACGAAAAAATGTTTTAGTCAGTCACAACGGTTCAAGTTGTCATACGATATTAGCGCAGAAAAATGAAGTTGTCAGACAAAATCCCACAATAGTCGAGGTATTAACAGGTATCATTGCTAATAGGAAAGATGACGCATCAAAGATACGACTCAAAAATAAAATATAAATTAGTGAAATAAAAACACAAAAACTGTTGTAGGGGATATCGAAGCTCAGGTTGTTTGAAAATAGACGGTAACTGGAATGTGTTCCAAAGCCAATTGAACTGATCCATAAAGTATGTATTATTACTACCAAGGTTTGGCTTAATAATTTCAAATAAACTGAGCACTGGGTAGATTGTTATGAATAAATATAATATAATATCCCAATGAGTAGAAAAATTAGATTTCCTGATGTTTCATGACTCAGTGTAAGCCAATAATACGAAGGAATAAAGCATCTAATATTCTTCCTTTGTTCCTTTGTTATATTGTGAACGAACAAGTAAGTGAGCAATATTAAGGTAAGACTCAAGGTGTTAGAGAGATTAGTGGTAAATCAGTTTATGAGATAATGAAAGTCGGACGTGTATTACGTATCCTCCACAGCAATCTATCTCGATACGTGATATTTGCCTGTGTAGAAGTAGACTGGAAGAAAATTGAAGGGAGGAAATGTAACCAGATAATCTACTTGGGATTTAGACGATTATTGTGACAGATGGTAAGAGATGATGTTAGGTGAGAGCTCAGGATCAGTTGCAATGATCCAGATCTATTTACTATTTATTTTACTCTAAATCACGATTTTCAAGATCCTTTTATCATTTTTATTTCGTGGATTCATTCGTTGTTCACGAATCATATTCGTTATCTATAGAGCTTTTTAGCTAACACAGATACTACTAACATTACTTTGATATTCATCTCAGTGCGGTGTTATATTGTGACAATTTACAGATTGATGAACATATATACAGAGTTTTAAGTTGTATACAACACACTGATCGTATGGGATCATAAGTTGGTACTGTCAACAAGTAGTTAACCTGCACGAACTACCTATCTCGAACAAGATTTTTGAGTTTTCAGCGAATTTTCCCCAGCTTAATATCAAGTTCTTGATATGAATCAGCTTTAAAACAAAAATGATAACCAAAAGCTTGACAAGTATGTGTAATAACATGACATAGCAAAACAAAATTCAATAAAATAGCCAACTGAAATATAATGGAAACATGGTGAGTGAATGAGTTTGGGGTAGATGAGTGCAGTAATAATAATCCTACTTACCCGTCATATGTTGTACTAATAACAAAGAATGTGGTTGAAATGTAAAACCATCGGATAAACAATGCATTGGTACAAGTGTTGGTGAATCTTTACATGGTAGAAGAGGTAGTCTGTAACAAGGAACAAATGAAAAAAACTATTGGACAGAATATATATACATAGTGCTAACAAAACATATACACATAGAAAGTGTAGCACCATAATTATCTTTTCTGCAGCAATTTGGAAGACTCTCCCGGTCTCCCACATTGTACGAGAGTTCCATGTACCTAAATAAATGGTTGCTCTGGTTGTCAGAAGGGGCATCGGCTTCGTGACTTCCGAAGGAACTCGGCTTTCATCATGAGGCATCATAACTCTTCTAAATGAAGACCTTCTGACTCTTAGGGCAGAGTTTAAGATGTTTGAATAATTTTTTCTGGTTAGCGTTTTTTAGAGAGTTAGTTTTCCATGCGATGCAGTCGCTAACCTCATGCCCAACCCTTCTCCCTTATCCGGGCTTGGGACCAGCAATAGCCCCGGAGGGACTCCAGGCAAAGTTATGATTATTTTAATAAGTCATAAAACTGATCAAAATGAGGGAGAGTGACCATAGAAGACAAATTTATAATCAGAATTATCAATAAGTTTTGAAATTCAGGATATTATTAGGCTGCATGCTTGCCATTGAAACAGGGGCATATTCAGGAAATGATTGATTTGTAAGAGGGTGAGGTCATTCGTTCATGGTTGAACTCAGTTAAGAAACTACTGACATATTACATTGATACCTGAAAAAACTATTGAAAAGTCAGCGAGACTCTAATTTAGGGCCGAACTTTGAATGAATCTTAAATGACCTTGACAATTATTAGCCAATCAGAAGACAGTTAGTATAAAGTAAAAATATATTATAAGAAAGTAATGAATTACAGTGGATATTCTTCTTTTACATGATTTAAAAACTTGTTAAGGTTTAATAAAGGTTCAGAGGTTCTGAATTCATAATGCATACGGTATAGAAACTCGTCCATAGGGTTAGGGTGGCGAGATTCTAATTTAGGGACGAGCCAAAAAGAAGCGTTTGAGCAATTTCAAGGTCACGGAGCCAAGTTCAACACGTGATGCCAACATACGGTCGGTTTACAGCGGATTTTAGAGCAGAGGCGTTTATTGAGAGGCTAAAACTCTAACCCTTTATACTAACTGTCTTCTGATTGGCTCGTCCCTAAATTAGTCTTTTTTTCTCTATCATACCTTATCTTGTATCGGAAATTGGGCCAACCCACATTAAATTGTAACACCATAATGAATACTGATCTGGTAAAAATACAATCATAATTTATTCTGTTCATCCTACATCATATTATTTGGTTATCACTTTAATAAATGGAACTTTGTAGATTGTTTTGATTGTCTCATTAACATTACATCAACATCAATGATACTGTATATATAATACGTTTTAACTGATATTTCATGATTTCTAATTTACTTGTCATAAACATTTTTATGGAATATATGAACAATCGTGACAGTTAAGTTCTTATTAGGTTGTGAAATAACTACTATCGGATGACAGCTGTGTCATAATATTTTGAACTGAAAGAGAGTGAGAATAGGGGATTCCGATGTAATACCTCTTTGAAAGACTAAGTATTCATTTTGATCCTAATGCAAGCTCGTGAGGATACAGTGCTGCTAATGAGTCGTGACCCAGGATTGAAATTTTTATTCAGAGGTGCTCCTAGATTATTAGTAGTTCCCCAAACTAGTGTATTGACCCATGATCCAATTATTGGTTACCGGCTATGATGAGACTGAATCTCGTTATGTTGTTGCATTGTCTTGTGGGTCAGACCTTCAAGTCGAAGGCTATTTATGTATTCAAATAAATAAATAAATAACAAATTGTATTGACCCATAACGAAGAAACTTATCTACATGAACTGAACATATTTCCTCAAATCTCTAGACAGTCAATCAGTCATGAGTAACGTTAAACATGGTACACATGTGTTTAAGCTTAAAAATTTACACGGAAATGATTGGAGACCTATTTAAGTGACAAATATCACTGAAGATCTTTCTTTAGAAGGAAAACGACAGGGAAACACTTTTACATTTTCATTTTGTTTCTGAACTAATTACTGAAGGTGCTTAAATGTTTATTGATTTTAACATAATTTCTGAATGCTTCCCGAATTTCAAAAGATTACATTTTCTTACTGTAGTTAGGAGCCCCCAAATACCCTGGTACGACCGAGAGTGGGGAAAGTCCGCTCACTCTCTCAAAATACTCTCACATGGCCACGCGTATATAGCCTCTGCCAACGATGTCCTACTCACTGCCTTCTCGTGGTGGGGGTGCTGCTTACAAAATGGAGAGGACAAAAAGCGAATGTCTGGCGCTCTGACCGGATTGGTGGATACGGAGAGTCAACGAAGGGGAGTTGGAAAACCTTGATTCCAAACCAATGGTGCACATGGGCTCCAGTAACCTGAAGAAACAAATGGCGTGTGAACCTATCGTTGGTCATCGACTACCATGGGACTCCATTTCCTTATGTTGTTCAACTGCCTTGTGGATTAGGTCAAAGGCCGTCTAAGAGAACCACCTGCTTCGGTTTGGGCACCCGGGCAGTATCACAGCCCTCACACAAATCAAATGAGATTTGTGTGGCGCATATGTATTTGGTGCCTCCTTGTACCAATATCTATGTGTAGTTAAGAATGAAATTGTTATATTTACGATTAATTCGTTTACTGTACTTAAGTCAGTGTTAGTAGTATCGACTGTTTCGAATGCAATAGCATTCTATATAAAACTATTTATTCCTTAAAACAAAACATTAAGATATTCAAGTGGTATGATATATCCTACTTTATTTAACTTCAATCTTTGATAAACTTTAACAAAGCAAAGACAATAAGATTTACAAAGGACAATGATTTCATTCTATTTCGATGTTTCTTATCAGCATCAAAACGGACTAAAGTTACGATTACTAAGAATATAATAAACTTTGAAGAAAGAAAGTTTAAACTGCACAGTCACGTTTTTTTAGTTACTTTCAGTTTAATATTCATGAGGTAAAGGGAGTTTAGTAATCGGTTATGAAATCAATGTACCATACATTAGATGCGCAAATATAATTAGTCAGTCATAATCAACATTAAATCGGGCATAAATGTACGTTAAGTTTCAGTTGTCATAGGAGTTTGATGAAGATTTACAGTTTCATTGAAACATTTATCATTACTGCAAAATATCGTATGTTTAACCTCGGTGTTGCTTACCAGGTTATCATCCCATAATACCCTAATAATGGTTCGGAGATATCTACGACTAGAATTTTGCATCTCAACCATATTGTCTGCTTGTATACATAGAGTTGGACAGTCACAAAGTAATACAGATATAACATACAAAGGCTTTTATAAACATGTAAATGCATTTTAAAAATAAGAAGAAGAAGAAGAAGCGGGCAAAAATTACACAACTTACTTTTTCACATAATCAACTATTTCTGACAATTTTAGAAATGGTGGTACACGAACATTGGATGAAGTCATATCTGGAAAATTAATTACATTTGTCATTTGTTCAGCTAATTCCATTCTAGCAAATAAAATGCATGTTGGAAGAGAAAGAAAGGAATTATAAACATCTATGTTGTAAACGAAGTTACCATTTAATAAGTATGTTAGTTGTACGTCAATATGTAGTAAAACCTAGTAAATGTATATGCATCGATACACGTTAACATACTATCTACATGAGAACAGTACAGTGAAACTATCAAGACAAATGTAAGAGTAGTAGAAAGTTACACTGTAGTGAACGAGAACACGGGTGGGGACAATCGAATGTATTTAGCACAACAATTACAGACTATCTCAATAAAATCTGAATACCATAAAGTCAATCGTCAATTTGCAAAATATCAATGCATTATATCAAACTGAACTGTTTCCGTTGCAAACACTAATCCATTGTCTCCCATTCCATTGTACATGCGTTTTCTTACAAATTTCATTGTGTTCTCGCTCTCCCTTTCTTGATCTTCGCCATCTTCTGCTGCCGGACATTACGTTCTTTTAATGCACGTTATATACTACTTATACCAATATAAGTTGCACACACCACAACACTATCAATGATATTAACAGGAAAGTCTGAGTATAGACGATAAGATTCCAGAAAGATAAATTCCTGGATTGAAAAATTATAAGACAACTATAAAACTCAGGGGTCTAACAGGAAGCAAGGAATGAATTTATGTAAATTATTGTAACCTATTCTGAGTCATATAATGATCTAACGTCTCCGATAACTGGTTACGATGGTTTTGTGAATCCCGATCAGGTGGTTTTCATCTACCACCATGACTAACTTCAATAATCTATAGCATCATGGATTGATTAATATGTATAGACTTGTACTGACTAAAATGAATTTGAAACTATTTGTTGTATAGAGAATATACAAGTTTGCTTATAATAAACTTTCATTTATTACGAGCATGTTAATTGTAATAAAGACTGAGCACTGAGGTTTTGTAATTTCGTTCACAGAATTACGAAACAATGAGGACTCGCATCAATTGAAACTTGGAAATACATTGAACAGTAAAACGTTTAGATTTCAAGACTAACTGACAATCATAAGTTCCAGAAAAATTTGATGATTAAAATCCAGTAGTATATTAGTTTGTATTAATCAGTTAGTTAATCGTAAACAGTATCGAATATGACATTGTCCTTATGAGTCTGTCTCCAAAACAGCGAGAGAGAGAGGGACGATGTTAACAAGATAAAAATTAAAAAAGTAGATGCATAAACAGTGAAAAATAATGGAGAATATATTCTGTAAATGATTTCGGAGAATGAAAAATAATCACAAATAACCAAATAGATGAAAGTAAACAATGAACGAATCCACACCGCCGCAACGGAATCATTTCCAACAACAGATATTTTAATTAGCGAGGTAGACATTAACCAAAGAATATCGGAACAATCTCAACACACCTTAAACAAACTTCATCCATTGATAAAACACAAATGATTTTCAGTGGTTCTAGACTCCTTCTAATCTACTTGTCTATATAATAGAAACAACTGGATGTCTACAGTAAGTAGGTAAAAGTTGTATATCTAAAGACAATAATCTCAACAGTAATAAATATGAGTATATTCAACGATTACATCTTAAATCAATGAGTGAAATAAACATAAAAACAACATCTATTTACCTTTTCCTGTATGGTAATTTACGACAATCTCGACCGTAGATACACACAACATCATATATAAATAAACCGTGTTTTCGTAAACCATTCTATAAAGATTCAGAGAACAATACAAAAAAAAACTTTTAAGATTTTTAACAAACATATTAACGAAAAATAAGAGCACAATTAATCATTACAAGAAACAAATGACATATACACACCCTCTTGTTACCAGAAGTTTATCACTAACATAAATGATGAACGGATTTAATCGGTAAAAGTCAGTTTCTGATTAAATGGGACTGAAAACAAACACATACATATATACATATCAAAATATGTAATTTCTATACTAAACAATGAAAAACTTAATAAGAATTGTTATAAATGAAGTAAATCTTAGAGTACCACAGTTCCCGACAAATCATTGTTGATACTATTTTTAAGAGATCAGAAGATCAGCATCGTTCTATAATGTAGACGGAGGACAGGTACTGTTGATGAAAAAAATGTTTTTTTTCTCCAAACTAATTAATTAAAATTCATTATTCAACTGTAGATTATAAATCATCGGACGTCAATCATAAACGACTAGCCGACTGCTACTTAAACAAAAGGTGAGATTCTATCGATTTTCTGGGAGGTTTTAACTAGCCAGATAATCGCTGATTTATGCTTATGCAACAAAATGTATTTTAATATCAGAAGGGTTTTTGTGGATATTATAGTAATTTTAAAATGGTTGAGATCATGAGTCAAACGAATCTAGACAACCATGGAAAACCTAGACTGTCGTTTCAATTGACTCATGATTTCAGTTATTAAAATTACTATAATATCCACAAAACCCCTTCTGATACTAATCAATATATGCCCAATAGTGACTGGCTTCAAGAGGTATTTCCTGCAGTTCTGGTGAGAAGCGGGGATCAATGGAGTTCAACTGGGTCTGTTGTGAGTTAGTAACTCACTGAAGACAATAGTGGATGTTTCGTTCAACTTCATGGATTAGTTGAAATTAGACATTAACACCGATGGATGCCGGATCAGTGGTCTAGAGGTTAAACGCTCGAGAAACGAGACCGATAGGTCCTGGGTTCGAATCTCGTGGATGCGCACTGCGGAGGAGTCCCGAAATAGGACGAAACAACCGTCCAGTGCTTCCACGTTTTCCAATTGAATCATGATCTCAACTATTAAAATGTATTTTATTCATTCATTTAAACAAACACATTCAGCAAAGACTAAAATCAACACTTATGTGATAATTTAGTGAAAAATTTTGACATTAAAGTATGAAATTAGTAACTACTTAATTGTTATCATTTCAGTATGTAGTACAAAAATTAATTGTTCAATAGACAAAATAGATAAACACTTTAGCAAAGTGAACTTTAAAACAAGAAGAGTTTAATTTAAAGCTAACGATACAACCCTTTATAAAGATACTGAGTTGCATTATATGTTAACAAAGAAATTAAAAGAACATATAGGATTATAATGAGAATTGTATATCGCAATTATACTACTTAATAATGACTAATATATATTGTTGCATAACCATTACACGTATTACATTGACTGAGTGTAAGTACTTGTAGTTCGCATACCCAAAGTGACACTAGTCAGACAGCTATTGAGGACCAGGAAGCATTAGACAGCTGTCACATCATGCTATGGAAATCCTTAGCAATAGGCAACAGCGATTTCGCCAAGGATCGGTCGAGCTCAGAAATCCCAGGTCTAGCAGATAGCGTCCAAACCGTGAGATCATTGACGTGATATTCAATGGTGGACAGTTTTAATTTTAATTAGTTTACTATATTACGCAATCATCATCCAATACCGTTAGTGAATAACTGATTGATTATAAACTATCTACTTTCTTATTAACCGGTTCAATGGTTCGACCAGTTTAATATTGAATTTATTACTTTCGTCTCTGCCTGTACGAAGTGTCGATTGTTGTTATTCGCTTTATCATTTTCAATGTAATTTTGTAATCGGAACTAATTTTAATTTAATCTGTGAAATTATACCATAAATATTCTGAGAAGGTTAGACAATTTTGCGATTTTTACCAACTACGAGTGGATGGTTATTACTGTTAATTAATCAATAATAATTCCATTCAATAAAATTAAGTTAGCTCATTCACCAGATAATTGAACATGAGCCACATTTTAAGTGTGAGGTCTCCAAATGCCCTGGTACGACCGAGAGTGGAGAGAGTCAGATATTCCTCTCAAAATGCTCTCACATGGACACGCGTATACAACCAGTGCCAGCGAAGTCCTACTTACTGCCCTCTCGAGGCGATGGTGTTGTTTACGAAATCGAGAGGACGAAAAGCGAATGTTCGGAGCTTTAACTGGGTTGGGTAGATATGGAGAATACAGCTATGGGAGTAGGAAAACCCTCATTGCAAACATGTGGTACACATAGGATCCAGGATCCTAAGGAAATAAATGGCGTATGAACCAATTCCTTGGTCACCGGCTACCATGGGATTGCATCTCCTAATGTTGCCTTGTGGATTAGACCTTTAGATCAAAGGCTCCGGGTGTGACCCCCTAAAAAACAACCTGCTTCGGTCTGGGCAACTGAGCAGTATCACAGCCCCTATATAAATTGAATAATTTATGTAGTGTATATCTGTTTGGTGCTTTCTTGTACTACTGTTAATGAGTACAAATAAATAAATAATAAATACTACACGGCTGCCCAAACGGAAATAGGTGGAGTGGGGTTTGCACCTAAGCTAAAAGTCGAACATCCTAACCACTAGGCAACCACTCACTCCATCCCTGTTTATGTACCAAATGTACTATGTTGATAATTTTTGTTTTCAAATGTCGTCTTCAGATATGAAGAACCATTCTTATAATTATAAATAATGGAATTACAACTGTGAAAATAGTTTCTTGTAACTGAAGATGACAAGATGATCACAATTATAGTGTAGGGTCCAATGAGGAGGTCCGTGCATTTGATACGGCTAAAATCAACAAACGGTGACTGGGGTGAGTGCTGCTGAATAGTTCTATATTAGGATGAAGCATCTATCCAGTCCTCATCCTAGTTTTTAATGGTACTTTAGAATCAAGTTGTGTTTCCCCATCATCTATCATACTGTACGACATCAAAAACAACAATCATTCGAAGTATAGGAAACAAACGTTTACTTCCTTACTAAATTGTAACACAAGGAGGTTGAAATTACACACAAACCAAGAATGCAATTAATCTTATATTCATAAAACATTTCACAAGATAAACATTATTAGTCTTTTTTTGAAAATTACCTTCACAGCATATTCATAAAATGGTTGGCCCCAAATTAATGTACTAGGTGGAAGTCGTGGGTTTAGTCTTGGTATCACTTGATCTAATCTATTCCATTGATCTCCATCAACAGTGCAATAAATATCCTAAAATAATTACAAACAGACTAAAATATACACAACTAATCTCAGAAGGTAAATGATATGATAATATATTAATAGTGATATGTATATAATAAAACAATCAAAGTGTAAGGATGGGGATTTGTGGGAATTTTCCAATTTAAGTTCGATTTTTATTACGGATATCAACTGTTGACGTTGATAAGTCTGGTACTTAAACGCTTTATTATAAATTTCTAGCTGCTTCCTATTTTCCCAACAATACTTATATTGTCCAAACGGGAGAGAGGTGAAATGTAGATGCTCTCATACCAAGATTGAGTTATGTACAGAAAGCAAGAGTATTTACAGATTTATGGGTGTCCTTGGTATTTTGAAAGATTCTGGGAATGATGAATTTAGTAGCAAAAATGTTAGTTATCCAATGAGTGTAGCATAAAATTTATTGCCTTTCCAGAAGTTTATGGAGTCTTCATTTGACACAGATTGATCAAAGTACTTTTAAACTTTTCCCAGATTATGAACCCTCTTTTGAAGAATTTCAACGGCTAACATAAAGATTAATAACTTAGAAGACCGGGGCAATTTACACATCATAGTTTGGGACCGCATCTTTGCAGTGCACAATTCATGACCTCTCATTAGGTCGAACCCAAGAGTCTTAGATCTTTCGATGAAAACAATACTTTGAGAAAACTGAACTGGAATCTAACAGTCTAATTCAATCAATTCACGATATGATGAGATATTTAACCGAGACTACGGAATTATTTTATTACTCCCAGATGTAGTTATACAACCCTTTTCTATCACAGTTTCTTATCAGAAATTTGAAACCTAGTCAGTAGTACGTATAGGTTCAATAAATAAGCTCCAAAATGATGAATATGAACTTATTTTTATATCCTTTTATGAATATTTCTGAATGATCATGTATACCAGTGTTTAATGTAAACTTTAAAAGAAAAACGAAATACTGTGTAGTAAATAGTAGTTGAGACAAATATATTCAATTTACCTACCGTAACTGCAGATCCATGTGAATAAATGAACATTGTTTGAGCTGGTTCAGAAGTTGATGTAATCGACGGATTACCGCATACTAAAGCAATTCGACTATGATATAAAATATCTAAATTATTTAAATTTGCATTAGTAAATTGTGTAAGACGTATATTTGTACGATATTCTGATGGTAACGTATTGAGTGATGTCAAATTTTCGCTATCCTATAAAGAAATAAGAAGTAGATGTTAATATACTAATGGATAACATATTTTGTATAGTATCTTAAAAGTAACTAGTTTAAGTCACTTTTCTACAATTCAGCGATCATATCATGTGATTGACAAATATATAAGTAACTGATTCGATTACAGCCTCACTTATTTCGGTTTACACATGCTAATAGTATTATTAGTTCATACGAGAGAAGCATAATACCCATGCAAATGATATATCCATCTGTACGCTTTTAGTGAAATGTATTATTCTATTAAATTAATATAGTTACAACCTTTCTTTAGTCTATTGTGATGATGAAATTTAACTGTTTTGAAGGTTCGACCGAGCCTACTTGACTAAAAATCTGTCCAATAAGATCCTATCATGTTAAAAACAACATTTAAACAAATGTAGAAGAAGAAGAAACACAGAAAGTATTAAGTTCTACAGTGAAGTAGTATTGATCATTATATCACGTTGTATAGGTAGAGAAGGAATACGCACAGATAAATAATGCCTCTAGATATCATGCCTACCTACATATAAAGGGGGGAAGTTACAAAAGATCGACTAGAATAGTAACAAAAATTAATCGCCTCACAGATTCCTGGCTTAAGCTGTCTAAAAAAAATGAGGTGTTCACTTTCTCAATACTGGCCTTTCGAACAGTTAATTGTCTGTTGAACGGCATTATCGTTAGACGTGCCAATTATTGATGGAGTAATTTCGATTTTGGACGTGACACTTATTGTTTATTGTTTTATCTTTACTCAACTGGCCTGACTGGATGATATCATAAGATGTCAAAGAAACAATTTTATTCTATTCCTCCCAATAATTGAACATTCAAAATATTAATAAAGGACTATAATTCTTAGAAGTTAAGAATAATCTTAAGAGTAGATGGAATAAAACAACCCTATCATTTAACAAAACATAAAATCATCTCGTTGAGTTATAAAGTTATATGTATTGGGATTTGATTCATCATGACACTGGTGAGTACTGTGAAAGCAATTTTCCAGTAAAAATTGAAGAAGAAAAAAGATCAGAACAAACATGAACTGTCCAATAATAACTTACACCTAATAAACGACGAATAATTGGTGAACGATTAGCGGATAATAAAGGCCAAGGGACAGGTCGACGTTCTGTTATTGGAATCTTCAAAAACAAAAGTCAATCAATTATAGAAGATGAGAGAAAAGTTATGTAACAATAACAACAAACAGTTGATATACATCTTAATACAAGTTACCTGAACTATATCACTTCTCATTAAATAGGCACTGGTTATACTATTGAAACTACTGATATTTAAAAAAAAGGTGAAACGAGCTTCTAACCTGTGTTGTGGTTTTGTTGGGAATAGATAAATAATGAAGCTCTGACGAACAACAGAAGCTATTTTTGGAAACATCATTTAATTCAAAGTTTGGTACTCCATTTTTCCACCCTAACCCCCAATTTGGACATAATTGTATTTTTTTTATTGTTTGTGCGTCGGCGTCGCGTTGATCTACTAGTTATTTATGTATCTTTTTACATAAATCTAATCAGGGATAGATCGAGAAGTGAATCAGTTGACTCGTCCTCTCTCTCGTTTTCGCCTCTCTATCTAAGGCCATCAGTCTCATTTCGGAATCACGCATTTTCAGCCTCAAGGTTGGACTAGTTAGTCTATTGTGCCAAGATCTTAATCTAGATCGAGACAATTTCTCTCCTGTATATTATTGGGTAAACAGATCAAGGACGTGACAGTTCTATGATCTGATTAAAAAGAATAATTCAGTGAACGGTTTTATAGTCAAAAGGTTGAACGATTAGTGCTACAACAAAAGTACACATACAGGTGTATGGACTGATTCAGACAGAGATATATGCGAAGTGATCTTGATCAGAACGACCACTTACTCGTTCACGAACTTCACTCATACTTGCATCTCATCTAATGTGTAAACCTGAAACAAGATGTGGTTTATTTGGGCTTTTAAATATATCGACCAGTAACCAACCCAATAACTGAAGGATGGAATAAATAGTGTTCGCAATTGAAACTCAATAGTAATAACTGTGTTAACAACACAGTTATTTCTTAAACAGTTCCTTTCATCACCTAACCAAAAAAGTGATTACTCACATTGATATATGACGAAGAGCATCTGACAATACATGTTCCAACCTTCAAAGAGATATCAATTTTTCCGTGATTTTAAATACGCTTGCCCGACCAACGGTAACAACCAGGAAGCATATCTGAGATACATAACTTGAAAGATAGTCTTCTTGATCATTTGGTAAACATTAATTGAAGACCCATTAAAAGTTATGGGGACAATGGAAAATTATTTCAATCCTTCAATGAGAACTTGGTTTTCATATTGATGATTTCATCTTTTCACAGTAATGTGTCGTGACAAAGTGAACCGATGCGTATGCGTTCCAGGTTCTATGTTTTCAATGTTTGAATCACTAAGATAGAGATGTGATTAAGTTGCTTTATATCATCGAAGCGTCTAATATAAATCTCCCTAAAATGTCTAACCATTTGGAGTACTTAGCTCGCATCAAGGTCAAATTAACTAACAGTTCTTAAAGTATCAATAAAAACTATATGATGAAATTCATGAAGATTGTGAAACACGAACAAGGAACACAACAACAACAACAACAACAACAACAACAACAAACAAACAAAAAGATTAAACACATGAACGAACACAATTACCTTCCATTTTTCTAAACATGTTCTATACAATTCATCTTGTCTCTTTTCAATAAGACTATGATCTTGAGAGAATGCTAATAGTTTTGACAAAGCAACACATTGATATCTAGCAAAACTAAAGGGAAGACGAAAAGAAAACAAGAGACATTTAGTTGAACATTTGATTTAAAATACACTAAAGCAATTAAGTTTACTAGGAAATTAGTTTTTCATAATCAATTTGTCATTAGCAACATAGAACCTGGCATACATGTGCACCAAATTAAGTTGCCAAATCATATTAGTGGCAGACTTTAAGGAATAAACAGTACAAAAAAATTAAGAACTTAAAACCTAATAGATGATAAACAATGAATGTATCTACATCATTACGACCGATTGTAAGCCATATTATTCAGTAAAATCATCATCGACTACAAAGCCCTTAATATAATTAATATATCTAGCCACTACCGAGAGGGGAGATGACGGTACTACAGAAGGCTATGACACATCAATAATATCTATTTCTTTGCATAATCCTGAAACCATCCTAAGCTTAACATGAAGCAAACTAAATGAAGTTTTTTTGAAGTATTCATGCAGAAACTACCAGCTCAATCTATCTCAGCTTCTCAAGAGAGTTCTCATATAATAACAAGGCAGCTGAAGTAATTAACTCCTGATAACTTCACCAAATTTTTTGATTGATGGAAGCGAAAATAGAACGTGTGCATTATCAGAAATAAACCATTTTTTCAAAGTGTTTATTTCTTATTTAAACACATGAATATTGGTACAAAGAGGCACCAGATACTTATGTGACACACTTCATCATTTGATTTGTATGAGGGCCGGGATGTTACACGGGTTCCCAGACCGAAGCAGGTGGTTTTCTCAGGAGAACATTATCCGAGCTTTTGATTTAGAAGTCCAATCCACAAGGCAATGAAGCAACGTTAGGAGATGCAATCTCATGTTAGTCGGTGAACATTATTAGGTTCACATGCCATTTGTTTCCTTAGGATCCTAGAGTCCATGTGCACGATTAGTTTGAATTCATGGTTTTCAAACTCCTCTAAGTTTATCCTCCGTATCCACCAATACCAATCCGATTAAAGCACCGGATATTCGTTTTTCATGCTCTCGATTTCGTAAACAACACTCTTGCATCGAAAAGGCAGTGAGTAGGACATCATTGTCAGTTTCTGTAAAGACGTGTCCATGTGAGAGCATTTTGAGAGGAATATCTAACTCTCTCTACCATCGACTGTACCAGAGCATAAGATTGATCCAGCATAAATTTTGCAAAACTATATTTATTATTAAACATACAACGGACAACAGTGAACAGTACCGTAAAGAGATTTATTAAATAGACAAATAAGAACAAGCCCCCAAATGCCCTGGTACGGCCGAGAGTGGGGAGAGTCCGCTCTCCCTCTCGAAATGCTCTCACATGGCCACGCGTATATAGCCTCTGCCAGGGAAGTCCTACTCACTGCCTTCTCGTGGTAGGGGTGTTGTTCACGAAAATGAGAGGACGAAAAGCGAATGTCCGGCGCTTTAACCGGATTCCAAACCAATGGTACACATGGGCTCCAGTATCCTGTGAGAACAAATGGCGTATGAACCAATTGTTGGTCACCGGCTTCCATGGGACTGCATCTCCTTACGATGCCCCACTGCCTTGTGGATCAGACCTTCAGGTCGAAGGCTCGGGGTGTAGCCCTCTAAGAAAACCACCTGCTTCGGTTTGGGCACCCGGGCAGTATCACAGCCCTCACACATATGGAATGAGATTTGTGTGGTGCATATGTATTTGGTGCCTCTTTGTACCAATATCTATGTGTTGAAATAAAATAATAATAAACAAATAAGAACAAACTTGTATGTATTTTCCGGTAAGAAAAACATGCAAAAAAAAATCACAACTTACTCTTCATTCATCCCCTGAATAAATTGCATAAATTTTTCATCTTGTTCAATTATTTCAGTGTGACATATTCTTAATACATCCAATTTTGGATTGATTGACGATGATGATGACAACACTGATTGGTTTGTCTTAATTTGATTTAACTTTTCATTAACTTGTAAAAAATGATTGATCACTAGACCAAGTGAACCAGATTGTTTCATATCAGTTAGAATGCCAAACTTTTTACTGGCTTCTATATCATCAACAACAATACCATTTGTGGTGGTTGTTTGTTGACCTGGAAATTTACGTGTCTTCTGTCGGAAACTTGACTTTTGATCAGTGGAATCCGAATGACTTGTCATGGATGATGATGATTTGGGAGCAGGTACACAACCAGCCATTGTGTTTAAAGATGATCGTAAATTCTTGCATACTAAATAACTTGATGGTTAGAAGAGAAAACAACAACAATCACCGATAGAATGAATAGTTTGATAAAAAATATATTAAATAACATAATAATAACCATCTACCACATCTACCAAGAAAGGGGAAATTAGGAAGTCATACAATGTCAACATTATTGTCACTTAGTAGTTTTTATCAAATAAGTATTACAGATTATGGTGATCAAATTATGATGTGACATTAGTCCATAAAGTTAATCACCGTTGGGTTGAGGTTTGTGCTGAATAACGTAAGCCTTCTAATTAGAGTGATTTTATAGTTGGATGCCTAAATATGATGCGTCTAACAACAAAAATCGATTTCAGTTATCAAGATCCATCCATTCTTTGTACTTTGAATAAACTATGGATTTGATTATCTCATACTTCCCACCATCCAATTTTATGCTATTCCTTTATTATCTATGTAACAAACGTTGACCCTAATGATGCTGAGTTAATCAAGCTACATTGACTGAAATGCATGTTCCTTTAGTTCCTACAACACAATGAAGGCTGATTGGAGAGTGGTATAACTAGGGCAACAAACTCATGATCTGAGCACTAAGTCATGCTGCAGAACGTACAAAGGTGTGACTGCAGGAAGGTGGTTTTCTCAGACAACCAACAACTACAGCCATATTACCCTAACATAACAGGAGAGAGTTTAAAAAGGTAGACCCCGGAAATACCAGACATCACCTTGTCTCACAGATAAGGACCCTAACAACAAGGCCTTAGAAGTACAGAGCTAACACAACTAAAACTATTCACATAAAATTTGTCTGTAAATAGACTTAAGCAGTCATCCGTTTTATTCTACGAGTCACACTCTCAAGTCGTCAAGACCATCCTCTAATCCAGAATCGCTCACAAGAACCCTAAGGAGTATTGTTTTCTAAACACATTTTCACCCAAAAATATTCATTGATTAGAAGTAATTTTCAGTATTGTTTTTGGCTTTTTGGAGAATTACCCCAAAAATTAAACATGAGTACTAACAGTTTATATTGATTTGTAAAGGAGTTTATTTTCTAATTGTCAGTAATGACAACTGCAACTGGTCAGTTTCTATTGATATACATGTCTCGAGCGGATCGCTAGTAGAGAAACTCATCAATTACAGTCTTTAATATCAACAATTGTAAAATACAAACTCTTACAAACTAAACCTGTACCTGTCGCAAAAGCTAGTGACTACTATCTCAACTCAGTAGCTCAACCGATTGTGTGTTGACGTTTGAAGTTAAAGGTATTGGGTTCAAGTCCAACTGTAATCATCATCGACACTGGAATAAAAGTATATTCAATTGATGAATCCTGGAAATGAGACGAAACTCGTATCCTGAATTCTACTGTTAGATATAACTTAAATTAAATAAGAAAAATTTGTACTTAGCAAACAGGAATAAGCGAAACCCAACGGAATGAAACAAATAATAAACTAACCGTTCCGAATTAGCTGGTCGACTAGTTACGGGTTTTATAATGAAAATCTCTTCAAATAAATAACCCATCAAATAAATTATACCAATTGTGAATTCAGTGAATGTATCAAATAATTTTGTTAAAAAATGTCCACCTAAATTTTTCAATGATTTTAAAAAGAAGAAATACAAATATATAATTCATATCAGAGGGGTTTTTGTGGATATTAAAGTAATATAAATAGTTGAGATTATGAGTCAATGGAAGCTAGACCACCATGGAAAACCTAGAAGCAAAGAACGGCCATTTCATCCTATTTTGGGACTCCTCAAACTGATAGATCCTGGGTTCCAATCTCGCGAGGCAGGATCATGGATGAGCACTACAAAGGATTACCACAATAGAACCAAACGGCCGTCCAGTGCTTCCAGGTTTTCCATGGTGATCTAGCTTCAATTGACTCATGATCTCAACTATTGAAAATATATAATTATTTAATATTAAAATCAATTGTTAATAAATTTGGAGATGAAAAAAGATTTGTAACTGTGATGAATGTATCCACTGGCGACCTGCATGAATCTCTAGGCTACCAGTTTCTCCCTACTATCTTAATATTTCAACAAATTACCTGTTTCCTTGTTTGTTTTAACAAATCATTATGCCTATTAGTATCATAACCTATTCAAGGTGTGTTTGTGATATGTTTACAACCTTTCACTATACAAGTTACAAAAATGTACAATCGAAGATATCGTAATTACTGGCAATATTGACAGAAAAAGAATGAACATTATTCAGATACCGACTTCTGAAATTCTAACATCTAACTGTCGATCAATTAATAATTATCGTCAGGATCAATCAAGAAATAAGAAAAGGAAAGTCGCTGAAATACTGTGATGAGAATCCTATGTTGTACCGAAAATACGGTACTGAATAAAGCAAATTTAATTATAATAATAATATCACAGATTAAAATCATGAGTCAATTGAGGGTTGAGAGCTCACTGAAGACAATGGTATACGGTGGCGCAACTTCGTGGATTGGTTGGAGTTAGACATTAACACCATTGGATGCCGGCTCAGAGGTCTAGTTGGTTAAGCGCTTGGAGCGAGACTGATAGGTCCTGGACTCGTATCTCGCAGGGTGCGGAATCGTGGATGCGCACTGCTGAGGAGTCACACACTAGGACGAAACGGCCGTCCAGTGCTTTCAGGTTTTCCATAGTGGTGTAGCTTCCATTGACTCATGATTTCAATCTGGGAAATTTCTAAAATCTCCATATACCCCTTCTGATAATAATAATAATAATAATAATAATAATAATAATAATAATGCTTTTGATTGTGTTATATACTCTAAGTTCAAATTAATTTAATCGTGAAGCATTCTTCATTGATACAGACCTATTTGTTCATCAACGTATACGGAAAAATGTCAATCAATTACGTAACTAAAGATCAATGAAACAAACAAAGTGCTGAATGGGAGTACAGTGACAAAAGCTCCCAAAACAACCATTCACAGATAAACTCGTCAGAATAGGCTGAATTAGAGCTTGTTAGTTAATTAAAACAACTAGATTGTACCTGAAGTAAGCTCCGATAATGTTATCTAGAAAGATAATGAAAAATTCACAATTATACTACTACCTAGCTCAAAGCAAGGAACCTAATTAAAATGTAAGACGTAGACTTAATACATTGGTTGACATCATTCAAGAATTCCATCACATTAAACAATTCAAACATTTATTACGTATGACTAGTCATCCCATCCAACTGTTCAGCACAAAAACCAGTTGGGAAAAAATACACAGGATGATTATATCAAGACATAATGATAGTTTGTGAAGTAATTGATTATTTTAATAGCTGAGATCATGAGTCAATTGAAGTTATATCATTATGGAAAACCAGGAAACACTGAACAACTATTTCGTCCTATTGTGGGACTCCTCAGCAGTGTGCATCCACGATCCCACATTGCGAGATTCGAACCCAGGACCCGCCAGTCTCACGCGCGAGCGCTTAACCACTAGACCACTGAGCCGGCCGGCATCCAACGTGTCAATGTCTAACTTCAACTAGTCCGCAAAATTGAGAGATACACCCATGGTTGAGCGCTCGTGCGCAAGACTGATGGGTCCTGGATTCGAATCTCACAAGGCGGGATCGTGGGTGCACACTGCTGAAGGGTCCCACGGTAGGACGAAACGGCCGTCCAATGCCTCCAGGTTTTCCATGGCGGTCTAGCTTCCATTGACTCATGATCTCAATTAATAAAGTTACTATAATATCGACAAAACCCCTCCCTCTATTAATTGATTATTCTTAATCGATTTCTTCTCTGTCGATTTTCTCATCTCTTTTACATATGGAAACTAATCCAGTACTATTATAAACCTTTTTTTAGTTATTTTCTCTTCATATGTGTTTGATTTCAATTTTGTTGTACTAAACCAACATACGCATTTATTACAGATTTTAGGTTGTTTAAGTCAGTCCGTCAGTAAGTCAGCATTCACATAATCAAAATAACTGTAAAAATAAAACAATTTCTAAGGCGTTTGAAATATGGATGGCATACATTGGTAAAATTTAGTGACATATCAATGAATAGATGTTAGATGATTGAAGATAATCAGATGGAGACTGTGAGGTTAGATTTCATGCTAATTGGCACTTGTTGTCAAAGCGTACCTGCGGTGTTATGAAACAGAAGAATTACAAGCAAAAAGAGATTTCCCAATATACACCTACCTACCTGGTCTAAGGTTGATTAATGCACATAAACACTGACATAAGTACAATTGTTTAGACATAACCTCTTGAAGATTATACTGACTAGATACATCGAAACCCTGAAGAAAAGAAGAAGAAACAATTATCTTGCAGGTTATTTCAGACTGGACGAGTAATATAAGCAATGCTTATTCATTTTGTATTTTCTTGAGGCACAAAACGTTTACTTGCAAAGTCTAGTTTAACCTCTTGTATGTCGTTGTTATAGTTGAAGTTTCATCGAGCAATAGTTGTTCATTCTAACTAGTTACGTTAAATCCACTTTGTAAAAGTAGAATAGAAACTGTATTCTTAGCAGCTGACAATACACAACACTTGTTGATGAGGAAATTTTTACTTTATATGAACTATAGGAAGCAAATATTCAGATTACATGGGACAAATATCTGCAATTCCAATGTGACAATAACTGTATTCACACAAAAGCAGGCAATAGAACATATTCGATGCGTAATCTTTCCTATTAACACTGATACCTGTTACTACCTCTACTAATGTGGGATTTTGTCAGACAACTTCATTTCTATGTGCTAATGGAGTATGATAACTTGAACCGATATACATACGTACAGGTTCTCCGTTGTGACTGACTGATCACTTGAAATATGAAATGAAGTCACACAGAATGAATTACATAATGAATAAAAGAACTAACTTATTTGCCAAGTATAATTTCATGAACTCAGCCTTAAATTACCCATCCCTGTTTGAAGGCTAGTGGTATTAAATTCCTAACTAAATCAAAATGGGGCTCGAACCTAAGATCTACGACTACTGATTGGGAGTCTTCACCAAAAAAGTAACTCTACATGTAATAATAAACTGGAATGTTGACTAATGGTTTTGTGAGTAAGACTAAAATCTTAGATTCTGTTAATTACTGAGAGAGATAAACCATACAAACTTTCTAAAATGTAGTAAATCCCATACATCAAGTCTAAAACTTTCTCTCTTGAGAAAATTCCAATGTCAAACTAAAAAGTTAGGTAGTAAACAGATAAACATATAAGGAGACTTTTTGAACAGGATTTGAAATACACTATCGTCATCATAAAGAAATTTATCACTGAACTAACTCCATCTGCCATTAGAATATGTACACCAGCATTATTTGTACTACGACCAATAAATGATGCGAATGAGGCTAAATTCGACCATTTTGTAACATCCCCATCACGTCCTGGTCCATAATGTGCCATAAAAGCTTCTTTTGGACCAGCCAAGAAATCATTTTCACGAAAATCACAATGACCGGTTAATGTTAAACCAAATCCTTTAGCAGACAGTAATGGTTGTTGTTTCTCTGAAGTAGTACTAGTATTATTAGTAGGACTGTTATGATCGACAGATTCAGTAGTATCTTCTAGTAGTTTATCATTGATATTGGAATGATGATTAGGACTGAGTGTATTGTTAAGCCGTTTCGATTCATTTGATGAGTGAATATGATATGGAGCATTACATCGTCGCCATAAAGTATATTCTGAGAAACCTCCAGGACCAGCACATATATCAGCAAAATATAATACATCCTGTGTAAAATGGAAAGTATAACGATAAGAGAAAATTCATAATTCACAGTAAATATCTGTCGTGTTCAATGTGTAATTTAAAAATAATTAAAGGGGAGAAGTGCAATACTAACAAAATCATAGTTTGTTTCATGAAACTTACTGAATTCTAATTGCCCCCAAATGCCCTGGTACGGCCGAGATGCTATCACACGACCACACCCATACAGCTTCTGCCAGGGAAGTCCTACTCATTGCCTTCTCGTGGCGGGGTGTTTACGAAATTGAGAGGACAAAAAGCGAACGTCTGGAGCTTTAACCGGGGCGATGGGCACGATGAGTCCACCTAGGAAAGTTAGAAAACCTCGAATCCAAACCAATGGCGCATATTGGCTCCAGCATCCTGAGGGAACAAATGGTGTATGAACCAATCGTTGATCACCGACTACCATGGGACTGCGTCTCCTTACGTTGCTGCACTACCTTGTGGGTCAGACCTTTAGGTCAAAGGCTCGGGGAGTGGTCCCCTAAGAAAACCACCTGCTTCGGTCTGGGTACCCGGACAGTATCACACCCCACACTCAAATAAAATGAAAATGACGATATTTACTGAGAATTTTATTCACGCTTCGATATTCATGCTTTTTTAATGTAACTTATTCACTGTTATATCCTAGTTACTCGTAATTTAATCTTCACTGGGATATAACATTCACCAAAGTTGTACTCACGATATAAAACTAGAACACATTCGTTTATTATTTGACAGCTACTTCAATAAGTAATTAATTTGACATAGGGAGACACTTCAATTGTATGTACTAGGTCGAACCACATTTGTTGAGAAAAAAACATTACGTCTCAGTGTTTCACATTTCTCAAAGGCAATCAGCTGACAAAAGACACCGTCAGTTAGTATCATCTGCTGGAGTCTGATCTTTATCTAGTCGAATTTAGGTGGAATTTTGTTCTCTAAGCTGAAGTTTGTGTTGATGATGTCGTTCAAAAGAAGTGAATAACAACTAAAAACGGTATGGGATGGAGAAAAGGTTTTTATAAAACTACTTTGCTGATTTTAACTAGAGCAATGTTCTTTCAGAACAGCTGAAAGACTATCTTCAGCATGTATGATAAAAATGTTTAAAGAGCAAAAATAAGTAATAGAATTAGATTCCAAACACAAACTCATACTTTCCAGGAATTTTCAACACGTTCTGTGATATTTGCAAATGGATCAGCACTCAAATTAAGAAGAACAAAGTGGACACACTTGTAAGTATATTATATTTTCAACTAAAATTTAGGGTGTGTTAGTGAATAATGAAATCCAGAGGGAAATTTGAATATGGCATTTCCAGATAAGCCATTATGGAACTCTCAAAGTACTATAAAATCATGTGAAAAGTTTGTTCGACATTTTGTTAACACTGAGCACCAGACCTATCATTTTAGTCGACAAGTTAGATTACAATGCTATAATCAAGCTTGAAAAAGTTTTTGTTTCGAATGTGACTGGTCATAAACTCCCTATTCTCGAATGTTGTAACTTGCTGATCAGAGATGATAACTTTTAAATTATAACCTGTAAATTTTTGGTTACTGATTACGGACCATTTATCCTGGAGCTAGAGAATTTAAGAATGCCTCAAGTATAACTCTTCCCTACTGATCGATGTAGATAGCTCTGATAAAGTGTTTGATAACGTGTTGACTACAAAAGTGAAGTGCGAAGATGAAAAATGATATGATAAACCAGTTAATGAAAGTCAAACAGAAACTTATATATGGGTTGATGATAAAAAATAAATCCACATATATATAAACTGAAGCTAAAGCAAACAACCTCCAAAATAATTACATTGTCACTTATTCTTCCCACCTAACCATTCCCAATATGAGAAGAATTATTTGAAGAAATATAACAGTGAAATAAACATGACCACTTTTCTTTCATTTAACTTTTTTTTTTAAAACGCACTTACATCTTTTGGAGCAGCAGTTGTGAACATTCCATTAAAGATTGAATCAATGTTGGCCATTTTCATTGCAGCTCTAAATGATTAATAATAGTGATAGGAATAACAATAATAATAATAATCGTGTATATAATAACTAAATCTTAAGTACATGAAATAATACCTGTTCCATGATAACCGAATAGTTGAAATGATTCATTATTTACTTCAACTTTTAAATGGTTGAATTCCATAATATTTCAATAATTCTTATTTTATTGCAAATGATTACAATGAAAACTGTCTAAGCTTAATCAATCAAATACCACTACAGAATACATGAAATGTGACTAGGATTAGAAACTAAGAAACCATTACAAACTGAATTAGATATCATTACTGTTGGAATGGATATTATTATTTATGAGAGGTAGATCAATGTGTTGAAATGATTGAGGTGATTAACTAATCATAATCAATACGTAAAACTTGACATAAATATGGGTTAGTCTAAGTTGCCACACTATATCAACATGATGAGATGAAATTAAATAGTATAATATGTAGCATCAATGCTGTAAAAAATATTGATGAAGTCAACAATTGTCATTTCATATTTGACAGTTGATTATCATCATTATTCTATTGTTCAACTTGGATTATTCGATGGAAATATTTATTTATTTATTTTGACACATAGATATTGGTACAAGGAGGCATCAAATACATATGCGCCACACAAATCTCATTCCATATGTGTGAGGGCTGTGATACTGCTCAGGTGCCCGAACCGAAGTAAGTGGTTTTCTTAGAGGGCCGCTCTCCGAGTCTTTGACCCACAAGACAGTAGGGCATAGTAAGGAGATGCAGTCCCATGGAAGCCGGTGACCAACAATTGGTTCATACACCATTTGTTCTCACAGGATACCGGAGCCCATGAACACCATTGGTTTGGAATCCGGTTAAAGCGCCAGACATTCGATTTTCGTCCTCTCATTTTTGTAAACAACACCCCCGTCAAGAGAAGGCAGTGAGTAGGACTTCCCTGGCAGAGGCTATTTGATGGAAAGGCGTAGAACTAATGAAGTATGTACATAAATGACTAGTCATTCTTACGCCCCCAAACGCCCTGGTACGGTTAAGGGTGGGGAAGGTCAGATCTCCTTCTTCAAATGCTCTCACATGGACACGCCTTTACAGCAACTGACAACAATGTCCTACTCACTGCCTTCTCGAGGCGGGGGTGTTGTTTACGAAATCGAGAGGACGAAAAACGAATATCCGGTACTTTAACCACGTTGGTATTCGTGGATACGGAAGATACACTTAGAGGAGTTTGAAAACCATGAATTCAAACCAATCGTGCACATGGACTCCAGGATCCTAAGGAAACAAATGGCGTATGAAGCCAATGATGTTCACCGACTAACATGAGATTGCATCTCCTAACGTTGCTTCACTGCCTTGTGGATTACACCTCTAGATCAAAAGCTCGGGGAGTGGTGTTTTAAGAAAACCACCTGCTTCGGTCTGGGAACCCGTGCAATATCCTGGCCCTCACATAAATCAAATGACGAAGTCTGTCGCATATGTATTTGGTGCCCCTTTGTACCAAAACTTGTGTTTAAGTAAATAAATAATCATTCTAATATCTATGTTATTCCACCTATAACTGTGTCACTATTTATACGATGTGTAATCGATTGATTAGTCAAAGATGTATTTCAACACTTAGACAAGCAACCACGGCACAGTAAGTGGAACAAAATTAAATGTTATACAATATGCTTCATACTTCATAAACAATTAGATAATATGATCATGGCAACAACAAAAAAAGCCAAATGATCCCATTTTTAAGCATACCTGGAGGTATTATCTTATTGGCCTAACTATTCAAGCCACTCAAAAGACTGATTCTTGTCATACTATCCCACAAACATTGTCTTTTAAAAATTCTCACATAGTTAAATAAATAAACCCAAAAAAACTAATGAACCAAAACCTTTTACAATGTAGAGGTGTTAACATACAGGCAACCTGAGCTTAAACAATGTGTACTAACGTCTCATGTTCAATCCGTTTTCTTACTACTATAGTTCTTAAGTGAGTTCCAATTTTTCGTATCTGAACGATCAAAACGATCATTGAGGTATCTTAATTTTTTACACCTAGTAATACCAGCTACTACTTCTAAGTTTTGTCTTTTTTCATCAACTTTTCCATTTTCGTCCAGTGAATCATTATCTCTCATAGTTATCAGCCACCATTTTTACTACCTTTTGTTAATAACTCAGTGGGTTTGAATACTAGAGGGTAGAATATCAGTTCCCTTACGATTGCAAGTAAACCTAGCTGATGGGTGCAAACTAGCACGAAACCTAGATTTATTGTTGTGTCAACTAATTTCAACCACTGTACAGTCTACACATCTCATTTGGTCTGAACCATTATTCCATACTCTCCATTAGTTATATAATTACTATGGATCTTTGCACTGGGATTTTTGGCAATTAACCGTCAACTAGCAAAACATAATAATAGTGATTATGAAATAACAAATTAAAAAAACTAATACATCATCATATTTACCTGTTCATAAAAATCCCTTTCTTTATCAATTCATATGGATTACAACGTTCATGACTTTTAGTGACATTCAATTTTGATAAATAATCCAACTGATTCTATATACAAGTAAGAAAACAAATAAGAAAGATAATTAGATTATCATCCCAAATGTAATACAAAGACAAAATAGGAAAAAAAAGATGTGCAGCCAAATTAAACACAGTCTATGTAATCAAATGTTAATTGCTGGATTTTGAATACGATTTTAATAACATCCTATAATAACTAACATGTGCTTACCAATGACTAACTTTGAAATGTGATTCGCGAAGTTATAGTGAGAAGTTGTGACTAGTAGAGTTCGACTATATCGGGAGTGAGATAAGTATCATCACTGACAATGGATGACTGTTGCGAAATATTACGAGTTATTTTGGAATTAGACATGTTGACCACTGAATATCAACTCAATAATCTAAAGGTTAAGTGCTCATAGTTAAACCTGAAGGTTCTGAGTTCTAACCTCAATGGTGGACCCATAGATACTCACTACTAAGTAATCCCACAGTGGGATTAGACAGTTCTCCAGAGCTTCCTTATTTCCAATGATTGTTTAACCGAAATCAGTTCATCATGTTAAACTCCAAATACAAACTAACCAACTCAAATCCGTAAAAAAGAACAAGATAATTCACTCAATTCTGAAATATCACCAGTAACCTAACCAGGGGTTCGGTTACCGATATCCATTCAAGAGACTGGGAGTCGTAACGCAATCACTCGGAAGAAATCAACTCAGATAATAAAATGTATTACTATTGAAACTCGAAATTCAGAATTGAACAAAGAATAAATACACTTGAACCCCCTGAGATCAATTTTAAACCACATTACCATTGGTTACGATTGAGATGACGCCAACCAGAAGGTCCATACATCAACGCGGGTCTTACTGAGACAGAATATTCTTGAACTTATCCCACTTCCCCGTTTGAATGTCCCCAACTTTCTCAAAACCTAGTTTTATACTAGTACTGGACATGCAGTAAACTAAATGGACGATTAAAAATGTGTGTAAATGTCTCGAAAATAAACTAACAGTCAAATATTCTACTATTTTTTTAGAAAACATATATAACTATGTAAACGTCAGCGAACCTTATAATTTAAAACTTCTTGAACAAGATGAATTGAGCAGAATTTATCTTCATTATCCAACTCTTCAATAGGCGGACCTAAAGCCTCCGGTTTATCGGGACTGATAATTAGAGAATTCAATTCCAATAAGGAATTAGTAGAACATCCGCTTTCCATTGACCATGACCACGTACGATCTCCATCAGCTGTAGTATAATCATCATCACAACCTTCATGCCAGACTAAATTTGGATTGGAAGATTGATAGAGTTCGCCTGAGAATGATTCAATCTTTTTATCAGATGACGATGTTGTTCTTACTGAACCGAGACCACTTCTGCCTTTTTGTTTACTCAATGCGACCGGTTCAACTACACCGTGAGCATTAACACCCAATCCTTGACCATGTTCATAACCCATCTTTCGCTATTGACCCAAAAAAAGATTTTAAACAAAAGAAATTGTAGTAGGAAAGTTAAGCATTTATTTCTGTAATTTAAGTGAGTATATAAGCAGATTTTTCAATTAATTTACGACAAACGACAGTATCACTATAAGCATACATTTCATTTATTTTCAAACTTAACACTTCTAAATATCTAAATATCATTTTCTATTTATTAAGCTTGTCGTTTACCGTAATGTTGTAAGAGCGTAATATCTCTTGTATTTAGAGGATCATCATATTTGAATAAGTGGTAATCAGTCATCTATCTTTATTTCATTTGTATACACATATCTAATGCTTCAAATCTTTTATTACACGCATATAGTTTCACTTACATTAATTTCAAAATTCTTGTCAAAGCGTCAGTGCTGCTTAATCTCACATGGGACACGCACTCAATAACCAGACAGTCTGATCAACCAGATATGAGCCGAAAGAAGTTAGTTTTTGGGTAGTATAATAAGTAGAGGCATATATTACAATGGAGATATGCGATGTACTAGATATTTCTTTATTCATGGACCAATTACGTCACTTCGGATTGACATACCAACTGTATAAATAACACTATGTTAAAGCTCACGACGTTACTCGACTGATCAAATCAAAGCACGTAGAGTAGTGGGATTCGAATATATTACCTATTGTTTGAAAGTTAAATGTTCTTTGGACACTAAACTCCTTAACTAGATAACTTATAGTATTCTAACAATACTGTAACTCTCTTAGAAAAAACATTACGTAACCCACAGGGCACTTCGATATTCAAGACTGATGACAAAGAAGTCCCGAATAAATACGTCTTCAACTAGAACTTACCATAATTTTCCAAGCTACATCGTCAAGTGGATCAGATAGCTGTAAAAAAAGACAAGATAAAACCTATTGAATGTCATGCTTTTCATTTAAATCTTTTTGTGCAATGAATATAATTTTATTTAGAATGTATTTTACCTAACGATTGTCCGTCGGTCAGTTATAAGAGACAAAAGAATGTGCATCAAGTAGACATCGACCCACGGTGATATTCACATCAGTACAGAGAAATGAACTTAATAGTAGTAGTATCAGAGGCAGTAAAAGACTAGATATAAAATATAATTCAAGAATAAATTCGCGGTCGTGGTCGATTCAAATCCCGTAGTGGTAGAGGTAATAAGAGTATAAGCAGTAGTCGGGAAGTTTAGTGTTTGGAGATGTTATTTAAAGAGTATTATACAGTGAAATAAATTTGGGAAGAGAAAAAAAAGAGAGACAAGGAGTTATAAGGAGATCAAAATTTAGGAGAACACAAAGAATGTATGCACCTGCGCCATTGCAAACGATTTTGAGCCATATCATTCAGGGTCTCTAACCATCGATTGCTATCATCTCGCGGTTCCCAACCAGGCAGTCTACACCTATCAACATGACTCAGACCACTTGTCAGTGACTTCATGGACTTGTGTCATGTTTGGGTCTGGCCGCCCGTACCTTTCTTCCAACCTACTCCTATACCACTGAACATCGCACGTCGAGGCAGTCGGTGGTTGGGCATACGTAACACGTACCCCAGCCATCTCAACGGATGAAGTTTCACTACGTCATCAATTGATTTGTCATCCTTACCTAGTACCCATTTCCTAACAACTGCATTACTTAATCGATGGTCCCAGGATATACGAGCAATATTTCGAAGACACCTATGATCAAATACTAGTAACCTACAGGTATCCTCTATTCTTACCGGCCATGTTTCACTGCCATAAAGTAGGACGGAACGAACTGCTGTGCAGTAAACACGTCCTTTGGTTGATAGACGGATATCTCACCTACACCATAGATGACGCAAGTTAGCAAAACCTAGTCGAGCCTTCTGCATCCGTGCTGAGATTTCGTCATATACCAGATCACAAGGGCTGATGAGACTTCCAAGATAAGTGAAGTGATCGACACGCTCACTTACTTCACTCCCTATCATTAGTTCGGGTGTCGATGCAATCCAATCCTGAAGCAACATTTTGCATTTCGAGGGAGAAAATCGCATCCCGAACATGCTTGCATTGTTGCTTAGAGTGGTCAGAAGACTCTGCATTTTGTCAGCGTCTTCGCCAAATAAAACTTTGTCATCGGCATATTCTAAGTCAACAAGTGAACCTCCTGGTAGAAGTTCAACCCCTGGAAATTTAGATGAGGAAAGGGTCATCTCTAAAAGCACGTCAGTGACAAAGTTGAACAAGAATGGAGAGAGTACACAGCCCTGACGAACACCACTTGATGTAATCAATTCTGATGACAGTTCGCCATAAGCTCTCACTCTACCAGTTGTGTTCGAGTAGAGAGCCTAAATAAGGTTAATGTACTTTTTTGGTACTCCTTTCAGTGACAAACACTGCCATAGAACCTTACGATCAACACAGTCGAATGCCGCCTTAAGGTCGAGAAATACTACCATTGTGGGGCGCCTAAACGTGTCTGTGTTCTAGAACCTGACGTAGTGTGAATACTTGATCTACACAACCACGTTCAGATCGGAAACCAGTCTAATTTTTTCTAGTCTGCTCTTCACGGGCTTTAGTTAGGCGTCGAAGTATTATTGAAGCTAATATTTTAGACACTATATTAGTCAAACTGATTCCTCTATGATTGTCACAAGAGGACTTTTGTCCTTTTGTGAGACTGGCACAATCAGTGATTGAGACCAGTCAGATGGGATTACGTCCAGTTCCCAAATTCTACCTAAGACCTCAGTTAATCTCACTGCTAATACTGAACCACCATCCTTAAAAATCTCAGGTAAACAAATTAAATGGGTCTGTGCCGCTGTAACAGACCTCCAAATGTTGCCAAAAGTCTCCAACTACTGGTCATCATAATCTTCCTAGGACCACCAAACAATTGGTCTTAGCTATCAACATAAAACCAACAATTAACGACTTTATCAACTGACTCCCTTTTTCTGTTTAGCTTTTAGTAGTTTTTAATGACTTATAATATTAACAAAATACATATCCTACTTAACTCCATACATCTTCGGTCGACTAAACATGTTGATGAGAAAGAAGGCATAGAAATTTGGATAATGATTAAATTTAGAAAACGTATACTTCGTGCAAGTAAATGACAGACGGTAGACAAACAATAAGTAATGCAGCTGACGTCCAACTCATCGTAGTTCGGTATGATAGACTTAGATAATATTAGAATGACTCAGTTTTTATAAGTGCTTGAGGATAAACACACGTAGGTATCGTAGTTTAGTCACCAGAAGATGGAGAGTAGAATATGAACCTACGATTGGAACTAGATATTATTTGCTTAAAGATAGGTTTTGATGTTCCACAACCATAGAATGAATACATAGCTTAATGTAAAAGAACAACCAAACACTACATATTAAGACTAGTTACCTTGTGTTTTTCAGCTTTTTTCATTGAACGTTCGTCAGACATCTATAATGCGAATAAGCATCTTAAGTTAATATACATTGTCAAGAAGAAAAGAACAAGTCTCTTGTTTTGTTTTTATTTACATGTTTTGTACAGCTGGTAACAAAAATGGAGTATTACAAGTAGGGCATATCGGGTTAAACTCACAAAATACGGACAAACATATTGAACAAACATAACCAATATCAATCAATCGTTTATGACAAAAGCATGCAGCTCGAAAGTCAACACCACTGGACCGACTATCTGGAAGTAAAAGAGATGATCTCATTTTAGATGACGGCAAAAATACTGATAACAAATACTGTAGTAATCCAGAAACTCTTGGTACTTGCAAGTAAATTCCACCAGTTAGATCTGCAGCCTGTTGAAGAAGACTTGAGTGTCCAAGAGAACTTAGCCCACATCTGCCATTTAAATTATCTGACTGTTGTGGTAACGACAACACACATGTGTCTATTGGAACATGAAGCTTTTGAGCTGTGAATACAGAATTCATCAACGCTAGGTATTGAGAAGAATTGTCATCAGACGCCTTAATAATCAGTATCCGAGAAGAAATCTTTTCACTCCCTTCGCTAAACTCCATAGTCATATCTAATGAGTCATTTAAATGTCTTGTAGATGGCTGCAATTCACGACAGCGCCGAAGGTAATAACACAATGCTTTTATTATCGCACCAGCCAAAACAATTTGTGTGCTTGTAGAGGAACAGGAGGTCACAAGGTTTAATGCTAGTTGCCTGACAGTGTTATTCATACAGCTAAGTGCGTCATTCTGGCCATCATTTGAAGCACTAGTTGGAGGTTCCGATTCGTTTGGATAAATAAACTTTATTTCAGAAGGTGTAACTCCTATTACTGCTAACTCGTTATGTGGAGACAACATTAAATGACTATTTGCGAAACCAAGGGCTGCCTCAATGCAATTTGGTAAATTAAATTCACTTGTACAAGAACCCCATGAGGCGGGAGTCATATCTAGTACCAACAACAATAGACTTCTTAATTCTGTCGACGACATTGTAGAGATCAAGCAGAAAAATCTAGGAAAATTTGGACAATGATGTTCTCGAAATCTTCGGGGGAAACTGATGTCCTTTTGTTTTGCTTGGCAATGGCGATAGATCGAGTAAGGGTCTCTAAGAAAAATACAAGTGATCCAGAAAAAAACCTAACCTGATAAATAGAGTTCTACTAAGTGATCACAAAGAGAAGCTGCTTCGTTATTAACTAGAAGTAGGAATAAGCCCAAAAAAGACATACTTTTTGTCTTTGAATCCACAAAAAATGATTTTAGAATTGACGTGGTGATTTGTTCCTAGTGGATAAACACCGAGAAACTTAAACATACCATGAATTGTCCTATCGCTTGCTACTACACCATTGGATGAATGACCTCAGTTGAAATCTACAGGTTACTGAAACCTTGAATTTGATGTTAGAAAACAAACCACTATCCGTACCATACATCTAGATGTAACGTCTTTGGAAAGAGCTAGTCAGTGAATCCACTGTTAGTTGCCAACTGGAATCCACATGCATCCAGATAGGCCACATGACGCCATGATCAAGCACAAAAGCAAGTTGGAGCTGACCATATGGTTTCAAATTGAAAGCATAAACTGCTTATACATGAACGCCGCGAATTTACCAAATAAAATGGATGAGCTACGTGAACGTATCAATGCTACTTATGCTCATCTGATACGAATATCTGAAACTTGTGTATCTTCTTAGTTTACGGACCAGGAGGTGGCAATATCTGGGATGTTTTTGAGTCGCACAACGGCGCGTATAGGCAATACAAACATATGAGGAAAATATGCACTAAAGAAATAAGAGAATACAGGCTTCAGTACCAGATAAAGTTTATGGACAAACTTGTCTCCAATCCGAAAAGCTTATTCCGTTATGCAGCCTCTCTTCGACAAACCAAAACTGGAGTTTCCCAACTGCTAGGTCCTAATAGCCCGACCAATAACGACAGCGACGCCGCTAAACTTTTGGCTGAACAATACTATCGAACATTTCAACCGACCCACATCAACTATACAGATGACAGCTTCATATGCAACTGCACAGGACTTTCCAAAGTGAATCTGAGCGCTGACTCGGTGTTCTGGAAACTGCAGCACCTAAGAAAATACACTTCTCCTGGACCAGATATGGTTCATTCTGCTATGCTGAGGGAGGCAGCTTCAATCCTGGCAACACCGCTTTGCGTAATGTTCTCACACTCGCTAAGCCGACGTAAACTTCCGGAAATTTGGAAGCTGGCTCACATCACACCAATTTTCAAAGAAGGTCGACGCAGCAAACCTTCAAGTTACCGACCAATGGCCCTTCCCTCTATACCTTCAAAAATCTGGGAGTCCCTGATATGTGATAGTATACACAACTATTTACTATCCTTAAATTTCTTCTCACCCAACAGCATGATTTCAGGACGTGTCATTCTTGTATAGCCAACCTGCTGACTGCGGTGAACGGATGGACAAGCATCCTTGGTCGCAAGGGGAAGGTTGAAATCATTTAAATTGATTTCTCAAAAGCTTTTGATGGGGTCGACCATAAATGTCTTATCAATAAGCTCAAACGTTTGGGCATTAAATCACCTCTCATTGACTGGTAGACAATTTAAGGTCAGGGTTAACTTCACTTTATTTCAGGCTATGGAATGTCCTAGTGGGGTCCCCCAGGGCTCAGTACTAGGACCTCTTCTATTCTTGATTTTTTTTAAGTGCTTTTCCACAACAGGTGTTGTCAGAACTATTACCTTTCGCTGATGACATGAAACTTTGGAGAGAGAGATACGCAACTAAGAGGATATACAGGCACTTCAGGAGAGTCTGACTCGACTTCAAAGTTGGACAGACGATAACGGACTTTCCTTTAACACTTCAAAGTGTAAAGTAGTCCATCTGAGAAGTGTTGCAGACTACATTTACAAATTAAAAAACTCCTCTCTAGTAGTATCCAGAGTCGAAAAATATTTAGGAGTCCTGGTATCCTATGATTTGAAGTCCTACGCTAACTGTGACAAAAATGCCTTTCGAGCAAAATCTGCACTGGTAACATTGAAACGCATTCTTGTCCAGTTTGACGAAAGAACTTTCCGCACAATCTTCAACAGTTTTATTCGGCCCCATTTAGAGTACGGAAACATCGTGTTTCCTCCCTCATTCCAAAAGGATAAGAACACTCTGGAGTGTATCCAACGGCGAGCCACGAAATCAGTTCGGGACACAAATTTAAACCCATAAGAGTATAGGCATCTTAGAGGTAACATTCTAATGATTCACAGAATCCTTAACACTGGAGATGCCACAAGTATTCAGTGTTTGACAACGCTATAACCAGTAAAACCCTCTAATATAACTCGTACTCTCCAAGAGAAATCAGAAAACAAAATCAAGGAGATGGCAATCAATATATCGAGAATCGTCTGATCTAATCTGGCTATCGATTGCAGTAGATGATGAGCACGGCGTTCCCACTCGTGATCTGGTACGGATGCATGACCGAGCGCCTTCAACTAGGTGAGACCATTAAAACATGTGGTCAGCCTCCAATGTCGAAAACATACGGGGGTATTTATTTTGAGGATTTATTTAACGCTACAACACTTCTGGACATCCCCTTAAACAACGCACGAAAACCTTTGACAGCGGCTGCGTTGCAATGTGTAGTTGTTTTTAGACCATTACTTAATACTACTCCTAAGTCTTTATGCTCTTGAACGCATGGAAGAGGTTTACCCTCAAATGTGTAACGGTAACTATTACCGTGCGCTAAGACTTCGGTCGTCAACTACAACGGTAAATGAAACACAAGTCAACATTTTTACTATCTATGATCTTCTACATTTGTTTGTCCGGAAATCCATTTTAATTTCCATTTAATTTGTCACAGGCATCAACTGGTTAGTAATACGAAACGCGGTCTTTACAATGGGTCGCGATGTTTAAGCTGCATCAATTTAGCGGATTCTGAACTGTACTCTATCAGCTAGTTTTGGTTATCAGATTGTCTTAATTTTGCTTCTACGTTACTGCAGATTGTAGTCAACTACTTTCGTTACTAAAATTTAGTGCGCTTTGTCACTCTTTGACTCACACTTCTCTTGTGTATGCACAAAACAATGAGGCTAAAGGTTGTAAGTTTTAGATTTCGACCCAGAATCCATTCGTCTGTATGGCCTAATAAAATTTTTCTATTATAGTCAATATCAATTCGTGGTGAAAATCTTAACTTGAACAACTAACTTTCAATTATAAGTACTTATCCTTATTCGCACCAACTCACTATCCCCTTCGGATCCTAGAAAGTGTATTTCCTCAAGGCCGCTTAAGCATCTCTGAAAGGTTGTTCAGCGCATGGTGTGGTCTTGTTCTTAAAAATTGTTGTTATATCTAATAAATTCTTTATGAACATACTGACATACAGAAATGATTGAGATAAATAACCGGGATGATTTATATAGACATTGAGTTCGGATACATATTTGGAAAGTTGACAAGCGTCTGATATAGGTTGGTTAGTTGCTGTGAGGAGTGTGTAGCTCGGCATACCCAGTCGTGATTTGGTGCTAATGCTTTACCGAGCGCCTTGAACTAGAGTGTATCCAGTCAAACTAATGAGGTCAGTATCACTATTAAAGACTTACAGAACTATTTACTTTGGGAATTTATTTGCCACTACAAGTATAAGGTAATATAGAAACAAGAGACAAATAAGGTCACAGCAAAAACTTAGGAATGGCATTCACCTCAGGGTTTAGAGACAGTGAAACTTCTCCACTGTGATAAAACTTACACCATGCAATCCAACATCTCCAGTCGTTGATTACAAACACCGTACAGGTTTCAGCAGGAATTCCACTTCTTAAGATCATGGGTAAGGCCTAGAGTCTTCAGTAATAATGATATTAGGTTGGTGAACCTGTGTTCATCCTGACAGATTGCCTTCCTGCGAAGGTCCAGCTTCTTGGGAATATTCACTGACGGCGCTGATACCGCTTGTTCGGGCAAGGCGTTCCAGTCATTGACTACTCGATGAGAGAAACGGGCCCCCACTTTAAGTTTATTAGATCGCGGTTTGTGAACCGTCTTACTATGACGGAGATTATTATTGCTGGTGGAAGCGAAAAGATAAGACATCTTAACACCCAAATCATAATTAAGGGTACGACATGCCAGTATAAGGTCACCCCGTGTCCTACGATACGACAAGTGGAAAAGGTTTAGGCGTTTTGAGCGCTCATCATAAGGGAGTTTAGAAAGATCCTTCACTAATTTTGTTCCCACAGGTTGAACACGCTCAAGTGAGTTAGTATCCTTTATCAAACATGGACAAGCTGCTTGGATACAGTACTCTAAATGTGGTCTTACATAGGTGGGATATAAAATTAGAAACATTTCCTCGTCAAAGCATTTGAATGCTCGGCGAAGTGACCATAACGCACGAAAACCTTTGACAGCAGCTGCGTTGCAATGCGTAGCTGTTTTCAAGTCATAACTTATTATTACTCTTAAGTCCTTATGTTCTTGAACGCATGGAAGAGGTTTACCATCAATAGTATAATGGTAACTATTACCGTGACCGATGTGCATTAGCACACTCTTCCTAGAATTGATTTCTAAGCACCACTCTCGAGCCCATCTAACTAAATCGTCCAAGTCAGCTTGAAGATCCAGATGATCAGCCGTACTTTTTATTGTTCTCCAGATTTTGACATCATCCGCAAACAATAATGTCGACGACCTAAGTAACAGCGGTAACTCATTAACGTAAAGAAGGAAGAGCAGAGGGCCTAAGATGATGTCTTGGTGTACACCACTTTTGACCGGCTTCCAATCGGATAGCGTTCCATTGACCCTCACTCTCTGTCTGCGGTCACATAAGAAAATTCCTATCCACTCATGTACAGTACATATTATTCCGAAGCTCGTGAGCTGTAGAAGACCTACGTGTAAAACCTTGTCAAACGCTTTGCTAAAATCTATGAATATCACGTCGACAGACAGACCGTTATCTAGGGCTGCTGTCCAATCCTCCCTCGCAATAAGCAAGTTAGTCAAGCACGAACGCTTGTTACGAAATCCGTGTTGCTCAGGAGCTAACAGATTGTGTAAATCTATGTGGCTTAGCAACCTAATCCGAATTATCTTTTCAAGTAACTTAACGACTATGCTAGTTAGACTAACAGGCCGGTAGTTAGATACTATATGTCTCTGACCGTCCTTAAATATAGGACTGACTATAGCGTCCTTCCAATCTCTAAGGAGTTGAGTCAGTGAAATGGACACGTTGAAGAGTGTCGCAAGCAGGTCCTAAATAATGTCCGTAAGAGAAGAAAGCAACCGTGGATGTAACCCATCAGGGCCTTGTGTCTGACCAGGTTTGAGGTTAGTCATC